TCATTGTGCCACAGGCCGGCACAGGGTGGTTTGGGCATTAAGAAGAGGTCAGCGCCCAGCCCACTTGGATGAGTTCAAGGATGGGGCACTGTGACCTGGCAGACAAGAAAACCTCAGGAGCCAGCAAGCTTCCATGAGAAAAATGGGAAATGCTTTGAGTGGATCATACCAGGGTTAGAGTGGGGAGGCTTCTGGATCAGGTTGATAATTCTTTTAACAATGCAAATGCATTGGTGGTGTGAAAGTGACGTCCCCTCATGTCCTAAATCCATCAGCAACCCCCACCTCTTCCAAACCAACAATATAAGTAGAATAAACGTCCAGCTCAGCCACAGACACCTCAAACCTGGCTGTCCTTTGTTGTGTGGCGAGTTGTATCTCCCAAAAGATATACTGCAGGCCTAAATCCGGGTATCTGTGAATGAGTATAATTTGAGCATAGGATCTTTGCAGATGTAATTAGTTGAGGTCGTATTAGATTAGGGAGGATCCTAAATTCAATATGGCTGGTATCTTTATAAGGGACACAGAGAGGGAGAGGCCCGTGTGACGGCAGAGGGAAATGTTGGGGTGATAAATCCACAAGCCAGGGAACACCAGGAACTGCCAGCGATGCTAGAGGCGAGGAGAAAAGCCCAGAGCTGGCACTGCTCTGGGCCCTGCAGAGTGAATGCTGCACCTTGGGAACACGTCGATGTCACACTTGTAGTCTCTGTGCTTTCAGCCATCCAGCTTGTGCTGACTTGTCACGGCAGCCCCAGGAAGCCAGTACACGTGACTTACTGGTTCGTCCCATGTCTGTGCACGTGCCCTGGGGGCGCCCTCCACCTGCTGCTCCTCACATTGTGTCTGCAGGGACCTACAAGTGATGCTGCAGCAAGGCAGGGAGTCTCAGAAGGTTCAGGGGCTTCAAAGTCTGTGTCCCAGGCCTTCCCTGGCTGCCCTCTCCATACATAACCCATCCAAGCACTATTGACTTCGCTTTATTTTCGTCATGACACCCACCCCAATTCAAGTACCCCTCTTCTCCTCTGTTTCTCCCTTTCTTGTGTGACTCTCCCCAGTAGACTACAGACTCCTGAGAGTAGAGACCCCTTCTGAGACACTCACCAGTGCCCAAGAGCCGTCCTTGGCATACAATAGGCACTTGGGAAGGATTGGCTAAACACAATGTAGATGCTGGATAAATAAAGGGAAGCCAAGCACCCTATTGTTAACATATCACTTCTGTTCCTCTTATTCTTCTTTATGGAAATTCAGCAATAAAGTGTTTCAGAAGCCAAGAAAAATGATCTCTACGTGAGTGCCTACAGAACCCCATCTTAAAAGTCTCTTCTGGACTCAAAGCAACACCGTCTGCTAGGCACAGCCTCTCTGACCTCAAATGAGTGTCTGGAAGAGCTCTTGGTGCCTGAGTTTCACATACTGAATTCATAATCTCAGGTGAGGGAGACGGGTCCGTGCTCCCAACAGAACAACTGCATGGGCTGTCCACAAGGGGGCAGTCTAGCAAAGTTGGGAGGCTCATCTACACTGAGTTCACTTGAGAGTAACTTCCGGCAGCATTCAAAAGGCTCCATCCTCTACCCACCAAGAAGCTACACACTACTCTGGGAATGCCCCTAATTAGAAAGATTCATTAAGGTAGGGCCCAGAAGCCACTTGGGAATTGCAGCCACAAGGGAGAGCTCAAAGGATGGAGGGCACTAGAAATTATGCAGACGTGTCCTTGCCTCAAAACTAGACTGGGGATCACTGGGTGAGGGTGTGCAGTTTCCCCAGTCCTGAGCAGGGTTCTCCTCAGAATTGTGTGGTCCAGGTAGGGGACTGCATCTCCCAGGTTGCTCCCAATATAGTAAAACGGGGCACCCAGTCACTCACCCCAGCTCTGGTTTTCTACAGCTGTGGGATGAGCCCAGTGACCACTGCAAAACTGCCCAAATACTTGGGGGTTTGAGGGGCTGTCATTGTGGTACAGTGGGTCGGGTTGCAGCATGTGCACAGGCATCCCATATGGGTGTCAGTTGGTATCCCAGCTTCTCCACTTCCAATCCAGCTCCTTGTTCATGTGCCTGGGAAAGCCATGGGAAATGGCCCAAATTCTTGGGCCCCTATACCCACTTGGGAGACCTGGAAGGAATTTCAGGCTCCTGGCTTTGGCCTGGCCCAGCCCTGACTGTTGTAGCCATTTGGGAAGTGAGTCAGCTAATAGAAAATCAATCTCTCTCTCTCTCTCTCTCTCTCTCTCTCTCTCTGCCTTTCAAATACATAAGTCTTTAAACAAATACATGGAGGGGTGGGGTTCAGACTGTGATACAAACCACCATTTTCCCAAAGACCCAGTCTCTCCCAATTTCATGAAGGGTATATTACACCGTGTGTCTTGCGGTGAGATTGGGCCATATGACTACAAGTTGGTCAATGAGATACAAGCAGAAAGGCGGCTTCTTTTTTCTAAGTTGACACCTTCTCAGATTAGGATTTTTTTTTTATTTGAAAAGCAAAGATATAGAGAGAGCACTTCCTTCAGCTGGGCCCACAAATGCCCCCAATAGTCAAGGCTGATCCAGGCCAAAGCCAGGAGCCTGGAATTCATTCCGAATCCCTCACACAGGTGGCAGGGACCCAAGTAGTAGAGCCATCATCTGCGGCCTCCCAAGGTGTGCACTGACAGAAACACAGATCAGAAGCAGGGCTGAGATTCAAGCCGAAGGATTTCAGGATGGGATATAGGCATCTTCACCACTGAGCCAAACATACACCCCGTGGAAAGCTTCTTAAAAGAAGACTAAAGGGCGGGGAGAGATTTCTTGCCTTCTCCCACGTTCCCCTGAGTCTGGTGACATCCAGAGCTCCAGGACTCCGTCTTGGCCCACAAGGTGACCTTAGGACTGGAATTCACATGCCAAGGAGGGAGGAACAGAAAGATAGAACTTGGCTCCCCAGACAGACTGTGAGGCCACAGCACCAGATCTGGGCTGTCTGCCTCTGGACTTATTCAATATGAGAGGAATAAACTATTGCCTTCTTAGAGCCAATCTTGATTGGGGGATTTCTGTGGGAGTCCACTGAGCTCAATCCTACTTGATTCAAATGACAGTTCAAGGATTCAGAGACTCAGGATGCCTCGGATTCTTAGATCTGGGTCTTGGACAATCCCTGCTGGCTCAAGAAAGTCAGAGATGGCTGCCTTGACTGAGCTAAATGAACCTCCACATGTTGATGTCCTCCTGGGCCTTTTTACCTTCAATTCTAAGACACACCGGCCCGGGAGGAAAGTCAAAGTCTCTGCTGCTCGTGTTTTGGTGCATTGCTGCCTCCTGGGAAGTGAATCAGGTCCAGGGTTCTCCAGCAGGGTGCTACGTCCTGGGCTAAGCCCTCTGCAGCAGTGGCTGCAGTATGACCTCCAGAGCAGCAGCACCTGGGAACTACTGGGAGCTGCAAACTGTGGAGCCTACCTCCGATCTGCTGGGTCCAAAATGCAACAGGCGGGCCCAGCACACTGTGGGTTTTTTTTTTTTTTTTGACAGGCAGAGTGGACAGTGAGAGAGAGAGAGAGACAGAGAGAAAGGTCTTCCTTTGCCGTTGGTTCACCCTCCAATGGCCGCCGTGGCCGGCGCGCTGCAGCTGGTGCACCACGCTGATCCGATGGCAGGAGCCAGGTACTTCTCCTGGTCTCCCATGGGGTGCAGGGCCCAAGCACTTGGGCCATCCTCCACTGCACTCCCTGGCCACAGCAGAGAGCTGGCCTGGAAGAGGGGCAACAGGGACAGAATCCGGCGCCCTGACCGGGACTAGAACCCGGTGTGCCGGAGCCAGAAGGCAGAGGATTAGCCTAGTGAGCGGTGGCACCGGCCTGGCACACTGTGTTTTAACAACCCCCCTCACCCCTCCAGTGGTTCTGAAAATGACTGGGTTCCGAAGCAGAACAGAGCAGCCTCATGGGGAATAACCAGGGTTCAAGTCTCAAGAGGGGCTTGGGAGAAAAGAGGGCTGCACTAATCCATCGGTGGAGGAGTGGACACAGGAAACAGGATGTAGGGGCCAGCATTGTGGAGCAATGGGTTAAGCACCACTTGCAATGCTGACATCTCATATCAGAGTACAGGTTGGAGTACTGGCTATTCTGCTTCCAGTCCAGGTTCCAGCTAATGTGCCTGGGAGGACAGCAGAGAATGGTCCAAGTGCTTGAGTCCCTGTCAACCGAATGGGAACACCAGGATGGAGTTTCAGGCTCCTGACATTGGCCAGACCCACAATGGCTATTGTGGCCATTTGGGAAGTGAAGCAGTGGAGACAAGGTCAACCTCTCGCTTCCTTTCTAATCAGTAAATTGATCTTAAAAAAAAAAAAAAAAAAACAGGATGTAACTCACATGGACTAAGTAGTTTGATGACCTTCAGGGCTGCCAAGAAATCCAGGCTTAATGCAGAATTCCAGCCTTTCAACTTCCTCTTGGCTCTTTCCATTTGCTTCTTGAATGTGGCCTCTTTCTGTGAGTGAACCTGACGGCACCTCTTCCGCAAGGACGCATCAGTGAGAACACGCTGGGGAGAGGAGGGCTACTGGGAACTGGCCGGAACTGAGAGCTCTGAATATTCAGTATTAGGGATAGGGCTCTGGCAGCTGCAGATGCACCTGTGGCTACCTGCAATGAAGTGCCCCCTGCAGGCAAGGTTTGGGGATATCTGGTGGCCACCCCATCGTACAACATGGAGGCTATGAGGCATCAAAGCTTGAGGTAAGATGCTTCCATTTCCAGCAACCCGACTTCCAAATGACTTTGATTCTACTCAAGTTGCGTAATCCTTGTAGACCCTTAGGAGGACAAGACTCCTTTAAGCCCACCCTAAGCTCATTCAGGCCCATTCCTCTCCTTTGCAATCTAAAGACTCCAGGGCTTTGTAGAGTCCATGACCCTGGAGCTACCAGATTTTGGAGAAGTCTCCTGTACGTCATTCTCTCCTCCATGCCCTGCACTTCCACCAGGATACAGCCACCAGGAAAAATGATAAGACATTTATTGAGTCATCTACAGCAGTTGGACATCCTTAAAATCCCAGACAAGGTTGTGAGCACAGCATTAATGGCAGTAGCGGTAGCAGTGAGATCTGTGGGCTTATCTTTACTGTGGGAGTTACAATCCAGGCTGGTCCAGCTACAATGAGTCAGCCTGGGTCCACGTCTGGGATGCCAGGAGGTTGCTCCACTCCAGCCCTGACAGGCACAAAGCTACAGAAGACAGACACAGACAAGACAGACATGGCCAAGGGCAGACACATCCTGGGACCTTGAGTTCAGGGAAGGAGAAGGAATGGGCACGCAGTCCATTTGAGGAATGTACCAAATCCTCGAAGATTTCCAGGCAGATGACATCATTCACATGGAAGTCTCCCCATCCTAATTCTCAGGTCAAAGTGAATCAGCTCATGACCACGAAGCTAGAATTGTGTGTCTGTGAGAGCCCACTGGCCTCTCCCTTACCCTCAATGCTGGTGGTTTTACAAATTGAGTAAAGGTTAACCCAGGAGGGCTCCAAGCACTAGACAAACAGCAAGGAGTCCCTTCATCCCTGTAAGGAGCCAGTACCCAGAGTCTTTTCATGCACGAGGGCACCTCACGTCAACCCTGTCCCTGGCCTGGGGAACAGACAGTGCACATTTCTCACATTAGGAGGCAGAGACCCGCAGAGGGTCAGCCTCGCGCTGCAGAGTACGTGGGATAAAGAAGTCTCCCTATGCCAGGCTGGCTGCATTGCTTCTCCTCCAGCATGGATTCCTAAACAATGCTGTGTAGCCAAGCACTCCACCTGTGCAAGGTTAAATGTTGGTTGTGTGACTACTCTCATCATGTTCTGGTTTGTGTACAAGGTTGTGCACCCATGGGCTGGGCCATTTCCTCAGTAAGATGATCAGGAAGCCATGTTGGATCCCAACATGGCGGCAAGCACCCATGGCAGGACCACTTGTGTCTCCTTACCAGCCCAGTGGGGAGTCCTGACCTGCAGGGCTCCAGGCTTCCTCCCAGCTCTGGGATGTTGCATCTCCCGCAAAAACATACGGGAAAGAGTCAAGGTCAAATAGCAGCCCAGTGGCAAAGCAGGGAGAAGTCCAATTCACCTGCTCCCTGCTCACAACTCCTCAAGCTTTCACAGTCTCTGGGCTCAAGCAAGACTTGATGATAATCATGTCCTTACTATTTTCACCTTGAAGGGACTCTGAAGGGGGCCAGGACCCTCAGAGAATTAAAAAGACCTTCTTTGAGTTGCCTTTCCCAGGAAGACAAGAGTGTCAGCTCAAGAAGACGGGTCCTTGTGGGTGATGCCGGACACAGGTGTAGCCTGGCTATAGCTCCCTGGCCTGGATCCCCAGAGGGTGGGGGTTAGAGAAGAGCTAGAATCATTGGAGACCACTGGACATGAAAAGGAGGCCCACAGAGCTGCCCACGGAGACAGGATGGGGCCTGGCCTCAAGCATGGTGGAGTCATGAGACCCACCGTGCTGGGGACCACAGAAAGCCAGTGAGCCACCCAAATGCCAGCCTCCACACCCCTCCCAGATTCCACGCCAGTGTGAGCTTGGAGCCCCATCTTCCCAGGATGGAGGTCCTTCTCCTTTCACTGCCTGCCTGTCCATCACGGGAGCATCGCAACAGAGGATGAGAACTTGGCTCATCCCAGAGACAACTGAGCCTCTCAAGGGCCATTTCTGTCGTTCTTGACTGCAGAGCACAGGAACCCCTTCCCAGGAGTGAGCCTCATGGGCCTGAAGGCTGGCACCTCCATTCTGCCCCAGCCCAGGCCCCCCCACGTCCCTCAAGTCCTCCTCACGAGGCAGGATTTCGGATCCTTTCCTGGTCCAGCGCACACCACCATTCTCACCTGGGGCCCTTTCTGAACAGATGCCCTGTGTGCAGATGGAGGATGTCAGAGATGCAGTGGGCTATCACAAACCACCCAGTCTTGCTACCCATCTTACAGATTGGAAAACAGAGTCAGAGATGGAGGGTTTTACCCAGACCTCATGCTGCCCCCTACACACAATTGCCTGTCTACCTTAAGGTTGGAACTTTCTGGGAAATTCAAAATACATCAGGTACAAACTCTGGTCACAAGACTAGCGAAAATTCAGTTGGATAGAAAATAAACAGAACCCCACAGGAGCCAGGACCATCAGAGGACATGCCCCCAGGGCTCAGGAAGCAGGGCAGCCAGTTTTTGCTGTTTTGTGATGGTGTAGCTACAAGGTCAAGTTTGCTTCTTCCGCAGCGAGGCAGGCCTGTTGGTGGGGGTGATGGCAGATGAATGGGTCCATACCTGGGAGACTCTCCTTGGATGTGGAGGTGGCCAGCGGCCACCCAGTCAGCATACAGGCCTGTGTCTGTGTACCATGCTAAGGCACCTGTTCAATGCCCATGACCTGATCCTTCCCTCCAGTCCACTGTGGTGTCCAGAGGAAACAGAAGCTCCTACTAAGAAAGGGAAAACGAACAGCATCCCACTCCCCGACACACACAGAGACATACCCACACACCAAAACCTTAGCCAACACACACAACAACAACGATGCATGCCCTTTTATCTGCCTTGGCTTTGAACTAGCTAATTAATGAAGTACAGAACCCAGAGATGCTTTAGAAGGTGCCTCATTTCTCAAGGGGGGAAACTGAGGCCCAGAGCAGGGAGCACAGTGTCCACAGTCACGGCAAGCTGAGTCCACCTGGGGCAGACTCTGGGTCTCTGAATCCTGGACCTCAGCTCCTTCGAAGCAGCCCAGCCCCCACAGGAGTGTCCCAAGCACAATGACACCTGCCTGGGTGACACATGTGGCTCCCAGGGCAGCAGGAGGGGACCGTGTGGTCAGGTGCAGTGATGCGAGGCCACTGTCGGAGCCACCGAATGCGCCCAAGACAGGGCAGGTAGTTCCTTTCTTCCTCTGGCTCTGCCAGAGCCCCAGGAATGAATTTCACTGGCCTAGGACTTGGGGTTTTTCGTTAAATCCCAGCAAGTCCCCCAGGTCCCTTCTTCGTAGAGCCAAGCCAAGCAGCACCCTTCCACGCAGACTGCTAAGCATTCTCGAACACGGCCATGAAACAAATCCACAAACACAGGCACGAGAGCAACACGGAGAGCTGACACGGAATGAGCTGGGCCCTCCAGGGGCCATGGCGTACCAGCATGTTCCTCCACCTTTCCGGAACCTGCTCCCGCCCTCCTGCTACAAATCCCTAGGCTGTGGCTGGGGCGCAACCATGGGTGCTGGGGAGCAGTGGTCCCACCCAAAGCCCCCGCCATCAGCAGCTTCTGCTAATGGGTATGGGGGTGTGGCATTTCCTTCCTCCGGACCCCCTGCTGGCCCTCAATGAGTTCATGTCAAGGGCACACGGAGGGAAGTCTGCAGAGGTTTAGGGAGAGCTCGGTAGCTGAGTCCAGGCCCAAGGAGCTGGTGCCTGGAGTTCCTCATCATTCACAGGAGTGCGGGGTCGGGGGGACCCTGGGCTCCGGACTTGGGTCCCTGGAGGTGTAAGGTGCTTCAGGATTCGCTGACGTCACAGATCACAGGAAGGCGGCTGGTTCATCTTAGTCATGGCTTTGACATAAGGGGCAATGGGGAGGGGGCAGCTGGTGGACGTGGTTGGGGATAGCTTCTCTGGGGACAGGAGGGGCAGGAGGCAACCACACGACCCCTGCCCAACTGGGTCCAGGGTGCAGTTATGGAGGGGGCCAGTCTTTGTGTGCGGGGCTCCCACTTTTACTCGGTCTCCTTCCCATTCACAGTCACACTTCTGGCTCTCGGCTTGTCTTGGATCAAGTGAAAAGCACCAGAACGTCCCCTGGCCCTCGCCCACACCCCCAACAAGTGTCCCATAGAAAGAGCCTGGAGTTGTCCTCCTGCCCCAGTGTCCACGAGTTGGGCCCCTGGACACCGAGCTGCCGGGTGAGCAAGAGGAAGCCTTGGGCCACAGAGCAGGATGCTCTGGGCACCCCAGCAGGGCCCCAGGGATGGGGTCTGGGCCCAAGAGGCTCCCCACATCCGAAGTCCCTTCAGCCTCGGCTCACCAGGCCTCACATCTGGGGTCAAAGCCATCCCCGAGGCTGGCCAAGACACAGTGGGGCAGGGAGGGGACACCTTTCCAAATTCAAGGACTATTTACATGTCTGGGGTCTCAGCCCAGGGGACATGATGGGTGGGGCTAGTACCAAAATGGGAGGGGCAACTCCAGTCTGTGCCCCGCCTCCTTCTCCCCTCCTTGGGCCCCAGCTTCCAGCCCAGGGCCTGCCCAAGGGGAGGGAAGAGGCGCGAACATGCGTGGGCCCCGCCTGCCCGCAGCCCCAGCCTGTGTGCGAGGAGAGGAGGAGGGGAGGGCGGCTCAAGTGGCCAGGTTGTCAGCCGGGAGGCCGGACATGCGAAGCTGGGAGCTGCTCTTGCTCAGGATGGAGAGCTGGGTGCCCCCGTTCACACCGCTGCTGGCCAAGGACGGGTGCCGGTGCTTGAAATCCACAGCGAAGTAGCGGTTCACCTTCCAGCTGCGCCACTTCCGTTTGATCTCCGCCTGCACCTGCGTGGAGCAAACCCAGGCAGTCACTTCCAGGCAGACACCTCCCCCACTGCCTGGCCCTGCCTTGGCCTGGGCCTGTCCCAAGCTGGCAATGCTACCTCCAGCACCCGGCCCACCGCCCAACTGCAGCCTGCAGCTGTCAGGGTCACCAGGGGCCTCTGCCAGCCATAGACAGACAGCCCTGGACTGACCAGCCCACCTCTGTCCCTGTCACTATGTGAGCAGGGCCCCCCAGTGGCTTCCTGCTGCCTGCAGCCAGGCAGGGGTCAGCCTCCCTGGTCTCTCAGGGACTCTCTGGCAAGCAGCCCCTCAGGGCAGATGCCCAGGACAACGATGCGCACACTCCACTGCACATGACAATCACTGGGGGGCTTCCCACTCTACCCATTCCCAGCCCCTTCCCCAGAACAATGACAGCAGCACCTCAGGGTGACAGCCAGGCAGCTGAGTTACTCAGGCGATGGCGAGACTTACGGGCAAACACATCCCCACGAGCTCTGGGCACGGCCAGTGGGGGCCTCCACCTGCCCCTCAGCAAACACCTTCTGCAGAGCTGTGCAACTGGACACAGCACCCGCACCCGCCCTCTCTAGTCTACCTTCTGCTTCCTCTGAGACCCCTGGCAAGCTGCACGTACTCCCCCTTCCTGGTTCTCACAGCCACTGCCTGCAGGGCCCTCTCAGCCTCTCCTGGGGAAGGGGGGTCCTAATCTGCCCCTTCAATAGCTTGTCTTGGTGCCCATTGAGCTCAATCTCATTTCTGAGGTGCAGAAAAGGGGAGGAGCCTGCTTAGGTTCTAGTTACGCAGCAATGACCCCCTCACTGGTGTAGACCACCCTTAACCCCCTCCCACCCATCTGGCCCTGAGCCCTGCTCCAGCGCCCCAGCTCTGGGATCTGCTCAAAGGCGCCAGCCCAAGGACCAGAAGGGGTGAGGTGGATAGCTCTGGAAATGGAGAATTCCTGGGTTTCCCATCTCTCCCGGGGGTGCCTCCAAGTGCCCACACTAGCAGAGGACATGCTTGGGCCAGGCTGGCCTGCTGGGGGCAGCACTGAGTGTAGGGCAGCCCTGGCTTAGCAGCTCAGGACTTGTGCTCCCCTGGTGGGTCATGGGGAGAGCAGGATCCCGGGGCAACTGTGCTGTGCAGAGCCGACACCTTCGTGGCCTGGGTCTGAGCAGCAGAGCTGGCAAGGCAGTACCAATCCTGGTACAGGGTGCAGGGCATCAGGAGGAAGCCCCAGCACCATGCAAGGCTGGCAACCATGTGTTGTAGCCTGGCAGAGCCCTGAGCCATGGAAGGAGCCCTGGGTGGCCTGCAGGCCCATCCCCTGTCCCCCCTCCACCGCTAAGAAGTAAGGACCGTGTCTTACCTCCCCATTCAGGAAACAGTACAGCACGGCCACCACGAAGCCCTGTGCAGGGAGAGAAACAGGCCTGAGCATGCTGCATGCAGGGGGTTGCAGGAGGGGTGGGCCAGAGGATGACGCCAGGAAGCAAAAGACCACCACGGCCTGCATGGGGACCACGTGTCCTGGGATCTGGGGTCAGCTGGGAACTGCTCTACTCCACCAAGATGGGCAGGTGCACCTGCAGCCAGGTAGCCGGTGGTCAAGTCCCCTCCCACTGCCACAACACCTGGCTTTGCTTTCACAGTCAAAAGCCTTTGCCTTCCCTAAGACCAGCTCTATCATACGTTCCACAAGAAGTCTTCCCTGGGTGCCCCAGAATGTTCTCTGGGCTCCACAACCAGCCTTCCAGGTCCTGAGGGCAGGACCCCTCCAGGACAGGACAGACCTGTGTGGTCCCTGTCCCCACCAGCTCCCCATGCAGCCCCTGTGGGTTGGTCCCTCGTGTACTCAGCATTTCAGAACCTCATGGGGACACACATGTGGCAGAGGCTGTGTATTCAACAGATGGACACCAAACAAGCAGCAGCATTTTCCTCAATGCTGCAAAGCAGTTCCTGGCCCTCCCTGGCTCCGTGCTGTCCTGCGAAGGTGTCAGGGCCCCTGGGACATACCAGCAAGCCCAGAAACGGGAGCCCTGGGCTGTGACTCCCAGCCTGCAAATCGCCAAGGATCTGTCTAAAAAAATTCCTGCCTCAACAGGCTGGAAACTGGAAATCCAGTAAAATGGAGTTGAATAAAAATAGGGCAAGGGGAGATCCAGATCCAACACACAGGATGAGTTCCTGAGCACAAAGATCACACAGGTATCAACAGTGGGTGGAGGGTGAGACGCTCTGGCCCAGCACACGGCCTTCAAGGACCCTCTATGGCTCCGATCTGCTCCCAGCCCATGAGTCACTCCCTTGGGTGCAGTCCCCTCCTCCCATTCCTTCAGGGGCAGTTCTTCTATTCTCTTGCATCCCCTCCCCAGCCACTTCTGTACACACCTGCCCAGCTCACTCGGCTCTCTGTGGCCAGGTCTGTGCTAGGGACTCTGTGTAAGACAGAACTGCAGCCCTCCCAGGGTGCACACTCTGGCAGGCTGAAGTCAGCAGGCAGACAGATATGCAGGACTGCCGAGGCCACTCTGTCTCGTGCCCCAGCTGACAGGGAAAGGGGCAGTGCTGCTATTTCAGATCCTGCCAGCGGGGCTGGCTCAGGAGTCCAGACATCCTGACAATCAGATACTAATTAGTGTGTCTTGCTACAGGGCAGCCGGGGCCCTCACAGAGCACTTGGCTCTAGTACCCATTTCAGTGAAGGAAACACTGAGGCCCAGAATCAAGCTTAGAAGGGTTCCAGGAGCACAGCGGGTTGGAAGCCAGGGCCCTGGGCTCTCTGCATTCTGCCCTCTACACACCCGCCGCACTTACCTGGAAGGAGCCCAGGCCCAGCTCAAACACGAGTCTTTCCCTCTTGCTGACGTTCTCCGGGGAGAAGGCAAACACCGTGTAGTGGATTCCAAAGAGCGGGATGAGCAGTAGGGTAGACCGGGCCAGCCGCCTGTTGAGAGAGAGAGCAAGGCCTCTGTTCCAGGGGCTGCCATGGAGGGCACTCAGCCCCCAGCCCCCATTCGCCTCTGCAGCTGGGGTCCCTGTCACAGACCCCTGTGCATCTGTGCAAGGGGCCTGGGAGAGATGGTGGCCAACAAGACCCCTGGAACTTTCGGGGGGGCACCCCCGGCCTGTAGAGCACCCCATCAATGTCCTGTGGAACCACTAACAGAGCCCATGTGATTTGCAGGCATCTCTGTGCAATGTGCAAATAGCTGAGGGGACGTGAGGTCAGGGCCGAACACAAGACCGGAGAAGCAAACACCACCCTGTTCTGGAAGGAAGCTCCCTGCACCTGAGCTGCCCCCACGGCTTGCCTGAGTCCTGAGTTGGCTGGGGACGCTCCCCAGGAGCCATGGGGAGAGCCGATGTCAGGGACAGAGGAGGTACAACGAGGCAGGCACTTGGGAGGGACTGGGGGAGGGACTGACCGAGCATACACAATCACCAAGCGATCAGGCGGAAGCTGAGTCATAGGAAGGGAAAGGTGTCCGCTCTGAGGAGGGACAAGCAAGGAGAACAGGCTCTGCGGGGGACCCCGCCTGCCTCTGGCACCCAGGCTGGGACCTGGGGGCTCTGCTCCAATGTTTGGGGGGTACAGAAGCCCAGTGGAGCACATTCAAGAGCAGATGCATCGTGGGTCCCATTGTACAGCGCAGGGCTTGTTCCTGGGGCTCTCGCAGACCCCATCTTGGCCCACCCCAGCCTATTTAGGGCAGTGAGCCTCCCCCAGAGCCCAGGCCTGACCTGCCGAGGCATCTGCCCCTCAGCCGCACTAGGGCCAGCCTCGCCCATGCCCGGGGTGGGCAGCAGGCTTGGGGGCATCTGTTTGACTTGATGCGGTGACACCTTGTGCCCCAGCTCCTCCCTCATCCAGCCCTTTTGGGGCAGAACCATTCTGTGGGGAGTGTGGGGGCTCCAGACTTCTAGAAACACGAAATCCACGGCGTGTGAGGGCCTCCAAGAGAGGAGAGGTCAGGAGGGAGAGGGAGAAGCAAGAGGAGGGACTGAGTGCTCCATCCAGGTGGAGGGAGTGGCCGTGCCCTCCGGTGGGGCGCCCATCTGTCCCCTCCTTGCTCACAGGCAGCTGTTCTGCGTCCTGGGGTCTCTGGGCAGAGCCGGACCAATAGGATCCCCATGACCCCTTGCTCTGGGCCTGGAGGGGCTCCTGACAGCCCTCCTTCTGCCCCCTCTCTTCTATCCGTCTCTGACTGCGGCTCCTGGAATGCCAGGCAACCCCTCGTTTATCTCCATTATCTCCGGGGCAAGCACGGCCTGGCACCACGCTGACATCCAGCAAATGTCTGTTCCATGAAGGGCTAAATGCGCCGAAGACCAAACAGGGCTCGGGGCTTGCTTGTCTGAGGGGCCCCAGGACCGGGCACCCCAAGTGCCGGGGGACGAAAGTCAGCAAAGCAGGGGACAGCAGCAGGAAGGGCAGGCACGGGGCATCCTGGAGCCCTGCGCGGCCCCGCCCACAGAGGTGCCTTTCAGAGGATGCTGTAATAGAAGTGCCCAGGCCACGGCCCCTGCCGCCACCTCGAGGCCTCCCCTCGTACAGATGGGGTGCCCCCTGCGATTGGATGAGAACTTTGGAAACCAGGAAGTGGTGGCCCCGGGCTGGCGGGGCTCAGAGCATCAGTGACAGCGCCCCTGCAGGCACAGGCTACATGTGCCTGTGGTCATGGGGGTGAGAATAGTCCAAGGGCGACCCAGCCAGGCCCCAGCAGCCCTGGCACAGCCAGGACTTCCTGCACAGACCCTTCCAGCAGACAGGGCAGCGGGGGCCGGCCAGCAGCTGCAAGGGCCAGAGCACCAGGACTTGGAATGAGACCATGAGGGGTGAGCCTCATGCTGTGATCAGATGAACCTGGAGAAACCACCACCCAGGCCTCAATCTGTGTCCTCTTCCCCAAGGAGCCCACCCCCAGGCAGAGAAGTCTTCAAAACCGAGAAGTGTTTCCAGCGGTCAGACACGCCCACTTTACTGTGCCCACTACCCGTGGGACACCACATTGAGGCCCAAAGGCCCCGTTAGAGACACCTTGGGGCGCAGTGCTTAGGGCTCCCTTGGGTTGAAATCGTCTCTGTACCGATCCCATAGCAGTGCGGGAGTCCCCTCTCTTGTCTGTGCCTCAGTGTCCTCATCTGTAAAACGGGGCTGATACGAAGACGCACCTTACAGGCTGCTGGGGAGGACGCAGGGAGTGAGCCAACGGCAACTCACTCCGGGTACTGGCCTGCCCTTTCCTGCCCTGGGCAGGGACACAGTCTAGATGGACCCAAACTCTACGACTCCTAGAAACAACTGCAGGGGCTAAGACTGAAGCCCAGGGAAGTGTGGCTCTTCAGAGGCCACAGGGCAGCCAGGAGCTGCAGCACCGTGAGCTGCTCCCTCTCGGCACAGGCCAGCCCCGTCCCCAGCCCTGCCCTCCCGCCCCCGGGCCACGAGGTCACAAAGAACTCACAGGACACACACACAACAGCATGCAGCAGCTGGGAAACAGAGCCAGGGCTGGGAGGCCCGGAGGGGCTGTCCACTGCCCTCCAGCCTGGCAGGAACGCAAGCTCAAGGCAGCGGCAGGAGCAGCATGCGTCCCCCACCCCTCCGGGACGCCCGGCCACAGCCACGGCCACGCACACTTACAGAGTAATGGTGGACAGCTCTGACATCTTGCAAGAGTGCTGCTCAGCCCGCTGTGGCTTGCAGTAGCATTTCTGCACGCAGCTGCTGGGTGTGACAAGATTAGCACTTCGGTCAGCTGGGGGGCGTCCAGGTGGGCCTCGGGGCAGCACGGTTCCCGGGGAGGGCAGAGGAACACGGGCAGGGAGAGGAGAAGGAGGAAGCTGAGGGCCGAGGGTTGGTCAGCTCTGGACAGAGAGGTGCATGCCCATGCGTGTACACACGTGTGTACAGACACCGCGGGCGACAAGAGGCGGGCGAGCTTGGGGGCAGAGTGTGTGCTCAGAAGGTGGGGCCTAGGCGAGGTCCCACTCACGGAGCCCAGCATGACTTTGTTGGGAGTGGGGGAGGCTCACGTGGGGGAGCTCGCTCACTTGCTGACTTAGCACAGCCAGCCTGAGCCTGCAGTCAGTCGGTCCGGGCTTGGCTATGAGGACCAACCTGGCTGTCCACTGGTCTTTCCCCTGAACCCTCTCACTCTTCCTGTCTCTGAGCCCCAGAGGCCACAGTGTCAGCGCCTACAGCAGGGAGCAGGGAGCAGAGGCAGGCAGGATTGAATGGGGCCCTACTTGGTCTAGATGTGACCACCATTGCTCTACTCCCATGCAGACACTTGAATTAAAATTAATTAAAATCAGCAAAGTAAAAAATGCACTTCTCAGTTCTCCTAGTCACCCTTTAAGGCCCCAGCTAGCTAGCGGTTGTCACACTGGGCAGCACAACACGGGGCCGGGACTTCTACTGGGTGTTGTGCTCCAAGTTCCAGGAGCAGGATGGAGTGCTGAGAGCAGTGCCCTTTGGGATCGCTGCAGAAGGGAGAGCCCCTACGGCGCTGAGCCCAGGCTGCAAGCTGGCTCTGTATTCTACTGAGCAAGGTCACACACTCATGAAGAGGCCAAGAGGTCTCTCTGAGCCCCTCATGGTCTGCCGGTCTTGCTTGGGTGGGCACAAGCCCTGGGCACGTCTCATCCTTCCCTGATGCACACATCAGCAATGTCTCCGAGCCACACCATCTTGTCGCTCCTGCACAAGCCCCTGAGCAGGTTCCCCGTGGTCCTGGCTGGTGATGGTGGACCTGCTGCACAGGCAGACGGGCGCGCACAAGAGATGGAGGCTCGGTGTTCACGGGTCTGCTGCATGTGATTCTAGCTCTGCAGGCGCCTCACCTGTGCGGACCCATCCTTCTGCCTCAGCGGCCGTGTACCTCACGTGCTTCAAGGTCAGGGCCCACCCTGGCTGGCAGCCTCCGTGTCCCACCAGGATCGTGGCTGCCATTTAAAACATGGCACCTTTCAATGCCCATCACACTGTGCAGTGGGCATCAGAAGCCTCATTCCCTACACGAGGAACAGCTGTGGTGCTCAGCCCTGCAGCGTCAGCACCTCCTGGGAGCCGCCCAGCACTGCAGAATCTCAGGCCCCTCCCCAGCTATGCGGGCTCAGAATCCACATCTAACCAGGGCCCAAGAGGGCCACACACGCATCAGAACTGCAGCAGCACTGTCAGAGGCACCCCGCCCCGCCCCTGAGAAGTGTCCCCAGTGAATGCCAAAGGTGTTTCATACCCTGACAGAGGCTCACGCTAAGAAGTATGTGCTTATCAATAATGGACAGAACACCACTGGGGATCCAGAAATAGTCTCTCTTCTGTTGTCCAGGCTTATTATCTGCATGACCCATACGGAGAGCTCGGCCAGTCTCTTCTATGGCACGCGACCCTTCAACTTCAGCCTCAGCCAACCACAGAGAGCGAGGTCCAAGAGCCCGAGACCCCCAAGCTTCAGCTGCTGCCTCCCTCGACCCTCACCCCAACGTGGAAAGCCTTGGCGGTTCTCCTCGGAGCCCCTCTCTGACTTGAGATATGTCCATAAAAATCACAGACACCTGGAGATTCTGGAATATTCTAAAGGCCATTCATCTAGTGGTATGCTAGCTGGGATGTGTGACTCTGATGGGGAGGGTGGGTAAGGCAGATCAGGGAGCAGCAAAGTGTGGGGTGGGGGCTCCAGGCAGAGGGATCTAGAAGGAAAGGGGAAGACAGTCCTTGCTCTAAACCTGCAACGAGGCGATGCAAAAGGACTGGTGAGAAGAAACAGAGTAAGATGGCAAGAAATGCCAGACAGGGGCGTGAGAAGGAGAGGTTTGCGGGGGTCTCTGAAAGGCAGGGCTGAAAGTGCAGAGGGAAGAGGAGTTTCCCCCCAGGAAGAGACACACCGAGGCCGGCTAAGGAGACCAAGGCTGGGCTGGATCCAAGAGGGTATGAGAAACCTAGCCTGGGGGGTGGGAGAGGCTGCCTGGAGAGCCACACGGCCTGAATGAGAGGGCCTCCACCCACAGCCACAGGCCAGGGAGCTGCAGCTTCCAGGCCCGGCTCTGCCACAGCTTTGCAGGACATCCACTGGGAAGTCAAAGCCATCTCCAAATCATAGTAGTCACATCTGTCATCCACGGTTTCTATGGCGGGCAAACTCCATGAACGCTGCAGCGGCCTCTGCACACAGTCTGCACGGGCTGTGGCGCAGGAAACACCCGGCAGGACACAGCACAGAGACGCCAGCGGGATGCTCTTTGTACCCCCACCTTCTTCACCCCCTTACCCCAGTGGTCGTGGAGCACAATACGGACCTGTAGTTCACAGAGCGAGGCCTGGGCTAAGAGGCTGTACACCCCCCGGACCTGCCCGGGCCCCGGGAAGCACTGGCCAGCACACTGGGCAGGTGTCGGGAGCTCCCCTGCCCACACGGCCTCGTCTCCCAGCACACGGAGAAGCCAGCCCCCTGCTCCCTGCAGCCTGGACACCTGAGGGGGCACCTGAGCACAGGGCTCCTTGCTGGCTGATCTTAGGCAGTAGCACTCCCTTCCTCCGGACCTCAGTTCTCCACCTGCAAAATGAGGTGAACAACCCCTCACAGGAGCTGTGGGTGAGGGTGGAGCGCCTCCGGACAGGGCCAGGTCTCTGCCAGAGGAAGACAAACCAGAGCCCCTGGCTGGCAGCCGGGATTGCCACCTGCCTGGCTGTCCTTCCTGCCCGGTCACAGCAGAGCCTGGCTCTAAGCTCTGTGATGGGGCCCAGGCAGGGATGTGGGGAGCCAAGAGATGTCCCATCCCAGCCCCAGACCAGGATGCAGCTGCCAATGCCCATCTTCTGGGCGCAGACCTCACGAATGACGCCAGTCCCCCTGGGGCAGGGCTGAGGCTCTCCCTGTACCGCTTTTGCCCTGGAAGCCTCCCCCGCCAACCTCGGCCACCCCATTCCCCTTAGGGAACTGAGGCACAGCATCCCCAGGCAACAAGTAGCCATGATCTCAATGCAGACCCCAGCCTTGGCTGAGTCCTAACCCTTACCCCGACCAAAGCAACCCTGAGTCCATGCAGCCTTGACCCAGCCCCCAGCTCCACCTCTGGCCACTGCCCCAGTCCTGGCCCCCACCAGGCACAGCAGGGGAGAGTGCATGGAAAGTCCAGTGCCCCCAGCCCCTGCAGGGTCCCAGACCCCACAGGTCCTGCTGAGGTGGTGTCAGGAGTGCCCGGCTACGGAGGACGAACCCTTGTCATCTGAGCAGCTGGAACCAACCTACAGGAAAGGGAGTGAATGCTGGTCTGAGGGCACAGGCAGGGGGTCCTCTCGGGCTTTCTTGGGGACTCCCAGGCTTACATTTATTCTGGAAACAGAGGAAAAAACCGGAGAGCTGTTGTGGACAGAACTGAAGGGGCTCCTTAGCCCAACATCTAACGCTGGTGCCCCAGGGGCCCCAGGCACAGCCCTGGCATCTCCCGCTGCCCTCTCCACCCACAGGCAGCATCACCCGCTCCTCCCAGACACTGCCCAGCTCAGAGCCATGCCTCGCCCACGCCCTGCAGGCTGGGGCACTTTCACTGGAGATGGGAAGCCAGCAGGGAGCTCTTCTTCCAGGAACCCCACTGAGTCAAGCTTGGAGGGCAGGGCCTCCTGCCTCACTGCTCTGGGACAACTAGTCCCCTGCTGGTAGAACAGGGTTTGACACCCATGGCTGTCCTAGTCCACACACTCGCTGCAGGTGTGAGCAGGAAGTGTGTGTACACAGAGGTGTCAGTGTGCTCAGTTCCGGCAGCACTGGCACTGGGACTGCCATTCATTCATGTGCCAGCAGCATCCCCTTGGCCCTGAAAGCACTCCAACGTGCTGCTGAATTTCAATGTGTCAAGTAGATCAGTCTGGCATCAGCCCTGCCCTCCCATCTGGTTCCAAGACCCCCTCATCTAAGGTTTTAATCTTTTGGGGTTCAAGACTAGCAGAGCTCTGGCTTTCTAAAAAAAAAAAAAAAAGGCATCTGCTGACATGGCAAGAGGGATTTTCACATGTATGGAAGTAGACGGGCCAGCTAGGTGAAGACCTGGCTCCATCCTCCAGTGGCCAACCCATGTGCTGATTACAAATAGCTCTCATCTGTGCATCCGTAAGACGTAAAAGGAGTCCACAGTGCCCAGACTATGGGCAACCTGAAATCCTGGTGCACATGCCTTCCCTGCCACCCGCTGGGGTCCTTGCTGCTGGGGCGGGAAGTGTGAGCTCACAGAGTGTCCTTATTCAAACTGAGGCTGAGCCCCTGCCTGTGGCCCTGCCCAGCAGAGCCAGAGGAAGCTGGGAGAATCCCCCAAAGAAGAGGATTGCTGGGGAGGGCGTGCTCGGAAGGAGAAACTGCTCCTGCCTAGGAGGAGGCGCTGAGCCTGCTGGAGCTACAAGACAGGAGGCCAGCTCCACCACCCGCCAGCTTCCTTTACAGGAAGTCATCGTGAGGGTCCAAGGAACCCAATCAAGCAGGGTTCTAGGAGCACACACAAGGCCCCGTTCCCAGCAGTAGGCAGGGAGGTGAGGGGCAGAGCTCTCCCTGACCTGAAGGCGGCAATGAGCTCTCAAGGCAAGGCTAGGAAGGGCCGGCTCCTGGGTCCCCACCATGCTGGCCTCAGAGCCTGTATGACTGACATCGATGGGCAATTTCCCACTCTATACTAGACACACATCAGCAGGGCATGGTGAAAACTTGCAAAAATATGGAAAAAATGCAAGAGAGACTACATGGAGAGCAAAAACAAAGTATCTCGTCCAATGCCGTGTCATCATCGCACAGGAAGAGAAAAGGTGGCTGAGCAAGCCAGGTGCTAGGCTAGTTCCCCAGGCTGACCAGCAGGCAGACCAACAGCCAGCCCCAAGGGCCCCAGGGAAAGCTCTGGCATTCGGTCTCTGAGCAGTTCCCGCCCCTCCCCTCTCTGGGTCCGGGCCCAGCCCTCTAGGGGCTCTCGGCTGTCCTGCTAGCTCCCTCGGCAGCCATCAAGGCAGGGAGTCCCCTGTTGAGGTCCACGATGCAGGCAGGGCCAAGCACACATGACACCATGGAAACGCCCCAGCTCCTTCTCACCTGCTCTCTTCTAAGGACAGAGAGAGCAACACATGTGGCTTCTACCTGGGCAAAGGCAGGGACCACGCCAACCACTGGACACCCCTGACTGCTCCCTAGGATCAGCAGGGTCCCCACCCCCACACCCTGGCTGGCCCTGCTCCTATGAAAGGTGAGGCGGAAGGCGCTCTGTCTGATTTCAGAACTGGACAGGGCTGGGATAAGCCTTCAGCCTGTGGCTGCAGAAACACTCCTGGGAAATCAATTAGCCGTGAAGTAGGAAAAGCCCATACTCAACGCTAAGAGGCTGCCCTTGAACCAGGAATCCTAAACAAATCGCACGCTCCTCTGCTGGGACAGGAGGGAGCTGAGGCGGTGGGACCAGATGCATGGTGAGAGCCACCCCAAGGGTGGGCGAAGGAGACAAGGATCCCCCACTTCAAACACTCCACCCAGGGAAAACATCCACCTGACTCCCAGGTGTGCCTGAGCAAGCCCTACATGCAGGGTGGGAGGTGGGCATCTCAGGCATCAAGGCACCCACTGGTGTTCCCAAGCTTCCCCCACAGCCAGGATTCCCAAGAGAAAAGCAGTCCTAAACAGCCAAGCTCTACCTACCCTGGAGCATCTGGGCTTTTCCACCTTGACTGTCCCCACTTGCACAGATAACGTCTGTCTCGTTCTCTCTCCCTCCCGCTTTCCATGCGATGACCATGCAGATCAGGAGCTCCCAGGCCAGTTGAAGTCTGGGAGGGCAACTGGGTTTTAAAGGCACTTTAAGGAGCCAACGCTGTGGCATAGTAGGTTAAGCCTCTACCCGTAGTGCCGGTTTGAGTCCTGGCTGCTCCACTAACAATCCAGCTCTCTGCTGATTGCCTAGGAAAGCAGTAGAAGATGGCTCAAGAGCTGGGGCCCCTGAACCTACATCGGAGACATAAAAGAAGCTCCAGGCTCCTGGCTTGGGATCAGCCCAGCTCCAGCCATTGCAGCCATTTGGGGAGTGAACTAGCGGATGGAAGACCTCTCTCTCTCTCTCTCTCTCTGCCTCTGCCTCTCTCTGTCTGAAACTCTACCTCGCAAATAAGTAAATAAAAGCGCTTTAATCAAAAAGTCGTCTTGCAAACACCCATATTAGGTGGCCCCATCAGCAAAGCCCAGGCCTTCTCCCACCTGTGACCTGCCTGGAGGGCCCACAGGGCTGGCGGGGCTGGCGGTGGCAGCCAATCAGTGGTACTCACAAGTAGATGCTGGACTCATTGCCACCCGTGTCTGGCGACTGAAGCTTCTGCACCAGGATGATGATGATGCCGATGAAAAGCACAAAGTTAACCTAAGGGCAAAGAAAAAGAGGATGGAGGCCACTCCGGGCAAGGACCTCCTACACCCCCTGGTGTCCCCCCAACACGCCCCTCTCCCCATCCAGACTTGTAAATTAAGATGGACAGCAAGTCTCCCACAGTTCTGTTGAAGGAAGAGCAGGAAGGAAATGAACCCCATCGAGACCCTGGGAAGTGACAAAGGGTACCAGGAGTGAGCCAGCAAAGTTAGTACCTCCCAAAGAGAAAGTAGAAAGTAGGATGGAGGTGAGGGAGAAACTACAACCCAAGAGAGGGAGAGCAGAGGCTACGGCAGAGGTGAGAGCTATTCCCTGGAGGAACTCCAAGTTCACAGCCACCAAACACTGGGAACCAGAATGGGCAGCTGCACGCATCACAAGTTAGAGGATGGCCCGGGGAACAGCCATGGCAGCATTTGCCTCCAGGTAAAGATCGGAGGCAAACGCTTTCTAACCCAAGTGGGAAGCTGTGTGACAGTGAGAAAGAAGGGGAAGGGAGACAGACGTACACAAGGCACAATGAGAAGGCTCCGGAGCCTGGCCAGAGCAGCCCTTGGAGAAGACCGAGATCCCAAATTACAACAGAAAGTGATGAATACTGGTGTGGGCATTGTGGTGCTGTAGGGAAGCTGCCGTTTGCAATGCCCACATTCTATACTAGAGTGTTGGTTTGAGTCTCAACTGCTCTGCTTCCTGTCTTGCTTCCTGCTAATGCACCTGGAAAAGCAGCAGAAGATGGCCCACATTCTCAAGGCCCTGCTACCCTGTGGGAGACCACGATGGAAATCCCAGCTCTTGGCTTTGGCCTGGCCCAGCTCTGGGTATCACAGACATTTGGGGAGTGAACCAGTGGTCAGAAGAAGCTCGCTCTCGCTCTCTCTCTCTCTCTCTCTCTTTCTCTTTCTCTTTCAAATAACTAAAAAAAGTAAAGCAGATCATAACCATACACTTTTCATCCTAGGAATGCAAAAATATCCAAAGATATGGCTGCATGTGCCCAAAGATATGCACAAATATCTTTCTTATAGCAATGTTTGCACTGGAGAAACACTGGACTACCATAAATGCTCATCACTAAGGAAATAAACACATTTGATAAAATTCAACACCCATTCCTGATGTGGAAAAACAGACCTGTTGTAACATGCCGGAAAGAGGACCTTCCCCGATTCAGTGCGGGGCAACATGATTTCTACAGAAAAAGGAACAAATGGTATAAATACTGCAAAGGAAGGGCACAAACTAACTTCACCTACTGATTATATAATTTTGTCTCTAGGAAGTCCACGAGGACCAGCTGAAAAAGCCAAAGAACTAACAAGGGAGTTAAGAAGCACATCTAAGGGAAGAAGAAGCCACACCACACTCAACAGCTTCCCTGAACATCAGTAGTAAACCTGGAAAACGTAATGAAAGAAGGATTCCTAGAACCCATAAAAGTCCAAACCAGAAAATACCATAGGGTACACGTAACAAGAACGAGGAAGGAAACCAAAAACTTTCTGAAAACGACCCTACGAGAAAGACAGAATAAACAGAGACTCACGCCGCAGCCTGAGAGGAAGACGCACCTTTTTTTTTTTTTTTTTTTTTTTAAGGGCTTCCATAGCCTTGGAAACTCATGACTGGAGCATAGGGAGATTACTGATGCCATAGACAGGAGTGTCAATTGGTAAAGTCAACAACAGGAGTCACTGTGCACTTATTCCTCATGTAGGATCTCTGTCCTTAATGTGCTGTGCATTGAGATTTAATGCTATAACGAGTACTCAAACAATATATTTCACTTTGTGTTTCTATGGGGGTGCAAACTGTTGAAATCTTTACTTAATGTATACTAAACTGATCCTCTGTAAAAAAAAAAAAAAAAAAGAAAAGAAAAAAAAAAGAAATTATCAACTCCCAACTTGACTCTCACTGGGATTAAACATGACAATAGGTCTGATCTGATTTCATCATCATTTAAAAAAATCATCTATTATTTTTCACTTTATGTTTCTGTGTGGGAGCAAACTGTTGAAATCCTTACTTAATGTATACTAAGCTGATCTTCTGTATATTAAGATAATCGAAAATGAATCTTGATGTGAATGGAAGGGGAGAGGGAGTGGGAAAGGGGAGGGTTGTGGGTGGGAGGGACGGTATGGGGGGGAAGCCATTGTAATCCATAAACTGTGCTTTGGAAATTTATATTCATTAAATAAAAGTTAAAAAAAAAGAAAATCAATTCTCCTCCAACATAGTCTATCAACTCAATTCTACGTCTATACAAGTCTCAACCACATCATTTTTGCAACTTGACAAGAGCATTCAAAAATTCACCTGCGAGAGTACACATGCAAGAAATTTTTTAAGAACAAAAAAGAATCATGAAAGGGAAATTGCAACACCAGATTCAAAACACACTACAAGGTTACAGTAACCAGCACCAGAGGGCTTGTGCCAGGGGAGCAGACACAGGTTAATAATACCCAATGGGGATCTGGAACCCAAAACAAGGATACTACACACTTATGATAAAATAAAATCACAGTGTAATGGAAAAAGGATTCAATAAAAACCATCAGGAGAGTGAAACATCCATTCATTCAAAAAAATAACATTAGATAAAATTAAATATCATTTCATACCAGGCAAAAAATTAAACTTCAACTGGATTAGAGATATAATAGTCTAATCCACAAAAACCTTACCCAAAATGTAATATTTTTATATTTTAGGTTGGGAAATGCCTCCATAAATAATAAGGCTGAGAATTCATTAAAAAATAAAACATGGTTATTTGGCTGTATAAACATAATACTGTCTTGGAGATTCACTCACAATATATAAAGCAAATGAAATGATCCTACACTTCAAACAATAAGACAGAGAACTTGCTAGAAAAATGAGCAAAGGAAATAAACAGGAATACCCAGAATAAAAAAATATTGCCAGTGAATGCTTGGAAAAATGCTCAGTCGTGTGGCAGTCTGGGGAAATGCACACGAAAACAATGAGCTACCATGATCCGCCATAAGACAGCGCAAAAACTTGAGTGACGATTTGCAAAGTGCAAGCAACAGCACGGGTGCTGTGAGTTGGGTGTTAGGTGTCCTCCGGGAGCTCACGAGTTAGGAGCTTGGTTCCCAGTGTGGCGACATGAAAGGCAGTGGGACCTTAGAGGGTGGGGCCCAGGGAGAGGTTATCGGGCCACGAGGAGCACTGCCTGGGAGGCGGTTAACATGGTTCTCCTGGGCCCCTGGTGAGTTCTAAGACTGGCCTCTGCCCACTCTCTGGCTCCCCACCTTCCCGCCACCTCTGCCTCTGCCATTGGCTCTCTCTCCCCATCATGATGCAACACAACCAACAGGGCCCCCGCCAGAGCTACACAAACGTGGGCTCCTAGCTCTGGTACCTCCAGAACCTGAGCTAAAGACATCTCTTTTCTTTACAGACTACCCAGCTTCAGGGTATTTTGTTACAGCGAAGGAAACCTAACGAACACCCCTATGGGAAAGGGAGTCACCTCCCCGGGCAGGTGTACACCTGTGCCCGGGTTTTTGTGAGACGACTTGGGATCTCAAATTTTAAATGTACAACCTTTCTTGGCCCAGCAATCTCCCTCCTATGGATTTTCTAAAGAAATATTCGCATGTGCTCAAAAATGCACAAAACTATTCTCAGTGGCATCTTCCATAATGAAGAAAAAGAGAGTCATATAAAAGGTCAACCCCGGGGCACAGCTCAACAATCTGTGCCGAATGCAGTGCAGCCATGACGACGAGGGGGGTGGGCTGTGCGGCGACCCTCTCAGTCCCGCCCCCAGCACCCCCTTCTCTCCGTCCCAAGGACGCTCACCATTATAGAGGCAACCACAGGGCCTTTGATCACCCACCACAGGGCTGTGCTGTCGTTCATATCCCAGCAGCTGAAAGAGCACAGGCAGAGACAAGCGATGAGGTCAGGGCTTGGCTGGGACACCTGCAGTCCGTTCCCCAGAGGCCCGGGAGGAGCAGGGGCCAGCTGCAAGGAGCGCTCCAGTGGGCTGCAGAATGACCGTCCCCTCCCAAGGACACAGACATCGTGCAGGGGTCTCTGAGACCACTGGGGTCTGAAATTTTCAAACACCTTCATTGGTCCAGCAGTCTCACTCCCGGAGATTTATTTAAAGAATTCTGCACGTGCTCAAAACAGCACAGACTATCCATCATGAGGTTCTCAAAATGCTGCTCGCCCAAGCCTTGACCCGTCCCTGTGCCCCGCGGCCAAGACAGCAGCTACACTCTGAGAGCCGGCATTGCCCAGGGCTCCGGGGAGGGGCGCTGTCTCCCTCTGTGACCTGGGCCTTGGAAACCCCACACTTGACATTCCTCCTCTCTTCCCAAAAGCGGCGAGCCCACGCTCAGCGCTGGCCCCGCAGCAGAGGAGATCTGAAGCCCTCTGAGCCGCTCACCGGGTTTCCAGCCGAGCCGCGCGGGGGCAGGCCCACGGCCAGGCTTCCCCAGGCCTGGCGCTGGATGGTTTGTTGAGGGTAGGTCTTGTGCAGTCAGAGCCACCATTGGGCGCCCACCTGGACTCAGGGCCTGGCTCCCAGGGGCACACTCACCCTGTGTCGTCGAAGTAGAGCCTCAGCGTGGCCCACACCGCCACACACACTGTTGGGGTGCCTGGGAGAGCAAGAGGCAGAGGCCCTGAGAACAAGAAAGCCAGCAGTCCCCATGCCTATCCCCACCCAGGCCTTTGCTGCCCCTCACACTCTCATTGTCCCTCACATCCAGGCTTCCTGGAGTCTGTGCCCCCTCGCCCTCTGATAGTGACTTCCCAGCACAGGAAGCTCCAGGAAACACCAGAGACCAGCAGACTGCCACCCACCCAGGGCAGGGCAGCACAGGCATGACCAAGGCCATCGCCAGCCAGCTGCACGGGGCTGCAGCCCACAACCTACCCCAGCCGATCATGGTGTACCAGTAGAAGTATCTCCTCTCTGGGAAGAAGGTCTCCACCAGCAGCGTGAAGAGGTACAGGCCCTCGATGAACAGCCAGAAGTAGTTGGACACGACACAGTAGTGGAAGAAAACCATGACAGCCTTGCATTCTACCTGCAGGGAGAGCCGCCAGGGCCAGGGCGCTAAACCCCACTCTGCTGCCTCCAGGCCGAACCCCGAAAACCCAGTCCTGCCACTCCCAGGGGACTCCTGAGGGCCCTGCAGCTCCGGCATGCTGGACACCAACCAAGCATCCCAAAGCTCTGCAAAGGCCCTAGCTGGAGATGCCGACAACCGCAGCATCCCCGATGCCCAGTCGCCGCTGTCCAGGAGGCAAAGCCGCACATGCAGAAGGACAGTGGGCCGCTATGGAGCCCTCTCACTCCCTCCATCTTCCCCAGGTCCACAGCAGAGGTGGGCAGGGAGAGCAGCCAGAGGCACCTGCAGGGGGCTCCCTGGCAGGGCAAGGATTTGAAGCCTCCCAGTTGCTGCGCACACATCGGGGTCCAGAGGTCTCTTCTCACAGAGACCCCCAAAGCATGCCCTCCGAGTCAGGCCCCAGGAAGCCCCCTGGAAGCCCCGCCTCTCTGAACTGCACCTGCCTCAAGGGTATGAGGTGTCTTAAAGGAGGAGGCATGGAAGACGCTTGGTCGGGCAGCGCCTGGCCTCACACAGCCTGGCTACACGCCTGGCAAGCCTTCCTGAGTCTCGGTTTCCTCCTCAGTCAACTGGCACTTGGCAGTTCCCACCAGACATTCCTCAACTGCTCTGCCAAGTACAACGCCCGGCCAGGGGGCAGGAACCGTCTGGTTGGCGGGGACCTGGACGTGGCTCCCTGGTAACTTCAGGGAGACTTCCAGATTCCCACGTTAACAGGGGACAGCGCCTTCACCAGCCAGCAGGTGCATGCTGGACAAGCGGGATGGCAAGGGGGAGGGCACAGGGCCTCCCCGGCAGGTGCCCCAGCCCCCGGCTCACTCACGGTGGAGACGAAGCAGTGGTTGCTATCCTGCTCGGCGTACAGGATCCAGTCTTTGATGAAGACGGAGATGGCCCTCAGCATGAAGGACACGAACAGGTTCATGTGGATGAAGTTCCGCGTGCAGTGCAGCTTCCTGCAGGCGTGCGCCCGGGCGGGAGGAGGCCTTGAGCCCAGCGCCGGCAGCACCCAGGCACTGCACATCCTCTTCTCCGGGCTCTGCTCTGGGCCCTGCTCAGGGCTTTGTATCCGTGGGGCCCCCACCCAGGCATCTCCACCTGCCCACTTCTGGAGATCCTCCCGACTGCCAGGACCCTGTAACACGGAGCCGCTACTGGGCGTGGTCAGACTGCTCCCTCCTGCGGCCCTCCCTGGCTGGGCCAGGAAGACAGGAGCCCGTGGGGCAGGTCTGTTGCCCAGGTTCTGCCCGCTGCGTGGCCTGAACAAGTCAGCTGCCCTCTCTGGGGTGAGGGTCCCCTTTGCTACTCTCAGGGTGGGGGAAATGCCTGGAAGGTTCTTCCAGGGCTGACATCCAGGGGAAGGTGGGGCGGGAGGGCATGGGCTCTCATGTGGGGGGAAGGGGGGGCACCCTTGCTTGCTCCAGTGCTGCTGGGAGGTCTCACCGGAAGCGACACAGGATGACCATGGCGGTGGTGAGGGTGACGAGGGAGGTGCTGTAGCCGACCGTGTAGAGGGCCTTCACCGACAGGTAGTAATAGTCCTGCAGCAGGGCGCAGGAGGGGTGGGGCTCAGCCCTCCTCCCACCTGCAGCCTGTCTCCCAGCGCACACCTGCAGCCCGGCTTCCCTCCCGGCCCGGCTCCTCCTCCCTCTCTGCCCCTGCTGAGCTCACCCCCAGCACCCTGCACTGCCCCTGCAGCCGCTCAGTGAAGGCCTGTGGAAGGCAAGAGCCTGGCCAGTGAGAGCCAACAGCTGCTCCAGCCCCTGGCCTGGGACCTGGCAAAGCCAGCCTTCCTGGCAGAGTCGCCGGGGTGGCCGTGAGGGCGCTTAGGCAGCAGCCACGGTGCAGTGGGTAAAGGTCTTGACCCCCACACATCTGTCTTGGTACGCTCACAAGTACAGCACAGAGCCCTGGGTCTCCCCAGCCCTCCCCTGTCACCTGTGAGCACAGGATGCAGACACTCACCTGGTCCCCAGGCTCAGACTCATACTCATCGAACCCGCAGGCGTCGAAGTAGTGAGGGAAGGGCTCGGACCAGCCATCCTCCGTGCAGTTCCGGCTCACCACCCCCATGTCTGCAGGGAACAGAGAACTCCGTGAGCATGGCGATGACCTGGAAGGGCCCTGGAATTCACCTGCACAAATGACTTCTTACAGAGGAATTCCTGGAGACCTACATGCCCGGCTGGGAAGCACGGGGACTGGAGGTGCAAGAAATCAGTCACTGTGGGGCCAGCGTGGTCGCGTGGCAGGTAAATCTGCCACCCACGACACCAGCAGCCCATATGGGCTCCAGCTGCTCCACTCCTGATCCAGCTCTCTGCTCGGGGCCTGGCAAAGCAACAGAGGATGGCCCAAGTGCTTGGGCCCCTGCACCCACATGGGAGACCCAGAAGAAGCTCCTCTGCAGACTCCTGGCTTCGGCCTGGCCCAGCGCTGGCCACTGAGGCCAGCAGATGGAAGATCTCTCTCCCTCTCTCTTTGTAACTCTGACTTTTGAATAAATAAATAAATCTTTATTAAAAAAAAATCAGTGACTGCTGATGCCGCCCAACTCAGCCATTATGGAGGATGCTGGGGGGGAGGGGCAAGGGACAAACGGCACTCTTACCCAAGCATGAGGGGGCTGCACCTGCCGAGGTGAACATGGCTGCATGCCCTGCCCCCCACTCTGGGAAAGACCTGCGCCCTGGCCAATGCTTCTCAGTGCCAAGGTGCAGAAGCATCACCCGGGAGCTCGATCACAAATGCAGATTCTAGACCTGGTCCCAGGGGTCTCCTCCAGCCCTGCTAGGTGGGCACCAGAATTTCGTGAGGGGACAGTGAGGGGCAGGCCCTAGGCAGCCTTGAGACCGCGGCTATGGGCAATGCTTCCCTCGGAACAGCCACGACCTCACGCACCAGCCGGAGTTTAGTCAGCAAGGGCCTCACCTCTGCTGACCCAGTGCTGGAGCCTAAGATCACATGTAGGCTTAAAAAAAAACACAGGGAACAAGGGTTGTCTTTCATAGGTTAAGGTCAGGTCAATTTCCTGTCACTAATTTCCTTCAGCTTCTTTTGATCCAAGTTTAAGGGCATTTTGTGGGACATCAAGGAGGCGGGCCCAGTCGTGGCCACTCCAGGCATCACTTGCTGGCTACAGGGTAGAGTCCAAGCCGGTTCCCGCCCTGCTTGGGGCTGTTCCAGGCTTTAGTGATTGCTCACTTCCTTCTCCCTTCACCCACTGGTCTGTAAGGGGGTGGGGATGCTAATGTCTGGGAAGGTGGGAGAACAAGCAGCCCCCTTTCCTTCAGGCAGCCCCTGAGTGTGGCCCCGGATGGGCTCCCTGGGAGTTCACCTGCTGTATTGGGACCCAAGAGGATGGGTCTTGCCTCCACCAGATTCCGTGACCTGGGAACGGTGTAAAACAAGGGGCATCTGCAGAGGAGGGGCTCCAGCACCCACACTGCTGGACAAGCCCTCCCCTCTGGGCCCCAGCCATCTCTGGGCAGCTCGCAAAGGAAGCTGGGTGAGCACTGGGTCGCAGGAGATGCCCGGCAGGAGGCTGAGGCCAGGAGAGGAGGCCCCTCTGCTTCTCCAGCCTGCATCCTTGCTGGTGGAGTGGGGAGACCAAAGGCCAGTTCTCTTTAGCCACAGGAGTCAGAAACACGCCAGGAAGACGTAGGGAAGCAGCAGGGACAAGGGGTCCCCTGCTGGAGAGGAGATTCCCAGCCGAGTGCGAGAACAGCGTCCATTCCTCCTGAGATCCCGAATCCCACGGCACAGGAAGGAGGGAGTTTGGCAGGCCCGGGCAGAGCATCGGAGCTCACTTCTGTCCCACGGTTCCCTGCCAAATGGCCCAGTCTTCCAGCCAGTCCGTCTCGAGCTGCCACTGGCAACGTCCCTCCAAGTGCCTCCCAACATTTCCTGCAGAAACCCCGGCCAAGTCCCCCCGCCACCCACCCAGGGTGCAGGAAGAGGACAGGCAGGCTGCTCTGGAAAATGATTTTGTAAAAAAACGTGACCGAGAGGGAAAAGCCATTTCCTTTCTTTTATTTTTCTTCTTTTTTCTCGCTCTTTTTTGACAACACAGTGTAGGCTCAGAACACTATAGGCCTTTTTGTTCCAGAGCTATTTGGTGACTATTATTCAGACAGAACTCTCTAGAAGAGCAGGCTGTAGGCTGTCAAAAACCTGCAGCGACTGCGCCCACTTGGTGAGGCTGTTTTGCCCCCAGCAGCTTCAAAGGAGCATGGAATTTTAGGGTGATCATCCCCAAAGTGGGTGCCGGCTGGGAGACCGGGCAGCTAGGCTCCTTCTCAGGCCCCAGCCCAGCCCACTAAATCAGAGCCTCTGGGGACGAGGCCCAGGAATCTGCATTCTAACAAGCCCACAAGGCAACGGCAAAACACAAGCACAGTGTGAGAACCTCTGCCCTACGCGTCGGGGTTCAAAACCATCAGGGAGCGACTGATCCAGTTCTTTTCCCTAGGGTCCCAAAGGGCTCCCCTGAATTCGCACGAAAGCATTTCAAGACGTTTCTGAAAAATGTAATTAAAGGATGTTTATTTTGGTACGAAAAAAGTTTTGAGATCCGTGCTTCTGTAGGGTCTTCAAAAAGTTCATGGGAAAATGCGTGTTACGACAAAACCACGCCTGGATGTCAATATTTTTGGCACCAAAATAAACTTATCTTTTCATCCCAACTTGCCATGACTGTTCTGAGCTGCACCCAAACACAGGATGTGCTGGGCACGGAAGTGCAGTCTTCCACGGAGACCACCTGGGACTTTACCAGAAAGAAAAGGGGACTGACCTAAGTAAGAAGGCAGAGTCACAGAGGGAGAGGGGCATGGCCGGGCCTGGGACCCCAAGCTCACAGTCAGCAGACGCCCACCCGCCCCGCCAGCCTGGCCCCTTACCCGCGAGATCCAAAGAGGTGCTCTCGGCAAAATCAAACTCTCCTGTAAAACACGAGGTGGGCGTGCGTCAGGGCACGGCTGCTCACGGCACATGCTCCAAGGCCAAGGCTGACCCAGGCATGCAGTGTTGCACACACACCAGCCCCAGCCTCCCCGACACCGGCCAGCACCATGCTCGCCGGGTCTGCACTTCTGCGGTGCTCAGCAGGCAAAGGGGCACCCTCACGGGGAAGGCAGGCCTCGGGGGGTAGAGAGGAATGGGAGAGAATGAGAAAGGAAGACAGGGCCTTTTCAGGAGGCGGGCCAAGAATGGCAACGGGGGTCCAGGCCTGGAGGTTGCTTCCTAGGGGCTCAACCCTCCGACCAGGCCTCTGGACCTGCTGCACCTTCAGCCTCGGACACTTCTCTGCCCTTCGCTTTGCTCTCATTGCCTCCCTCTTCTGAGGCCCAATCCTTGCCTTCAAGAAAGCCCATTCCCCCCCACCTCAACATCCTGTTTCTAAGGCCCAGCTGACGCTGCACCTCCTCCAGGAAGCCTCTCCTGACCTCTTAGCTATTCTGCCTACGAGGTGCATCATTCGGTCTCTCATGTCCTCTTGTTTGATGCCCCTTCCGGCTTCTCAGCCACTGGGGACAGCACTCTGGATGTCACTCAAGCGCTCAGGCGTCTGTGTGCACACATGTGTGGCTTGGCTTCTAAGCCCTGTGCTCCTGAACACGCGTGTGAACGCCCCAAGCTGAAATCGTCCACCTTCCCATGCCCCCCACTGCAGAGTGACCAAGTCAGGGGGTGGCAGGGGAAACCGACCCCAGCGAGCACTCATTCCACCTCCACTGGACCCCAGCAGCCGGAACCTGGACCCTCCCTGGGCAGGGCCCCTGCTGGATGGACAGACAGACATTTGGACAGTGGTCTGTCCTCAACAAGGTGCCTCTTACCGATGGTATCTGTCTCCCAGGCTGAAAGAGAAAGAGAAAGAGCAGAGGTGAGCAGGTGGGCTGGCGTCAGGGTCGCCGTCACCCATGCCCCCAACACTGGAGAGAAGCCTGCTGGGGACCACCAGCTGGGGGTGGGACCAGCCCCGGACACCTCCATGTCACCTCCACCTCCAAAAACGCACAGAGGCAACTGAGAGGAGGAGGGAGGGGTTGGAGCCGCTGCACCCCGCATCCCCTGCTCCATTCTGCCCGGCTAAGTAGGCTGGGATCTTCCATCCTCTGCCTTCTCAGCGTTGAAAGCAAGTCTCATCCCGAGGTGGAGAGAGCAGCCAGCGAGCGGAGGTGCCAATGGCCCTGCTCTAATGAGCCATTAGGAAGCAGGTGTAAAAGACAGGCTCCCCGGGCCCCTGCCAGAGGGAGGAGGCAGTTGGCGAGAGCGCGTCTTAAGGAGGCTTTTTGCACTTTGGATTCGTTCTGCCTTTTGTGGCCGTGGCTGATGAGAAGCCGTCTTGGCGTGGAAACTGACCCACAGTAGACACTAGGGAGAAAACGAGTGATGAAGGCAACCCAGGATGGGGGAAGCCAGCACGCTGGTCTCTGCAGGCATGAACTGGGAATCAGCCTAACTCACTGCTGCCGCCTCTCACTCCCGGCCAGTCTCCCCTTTCAAATTCACGCAGGGCTCTGGTGTCAGCCCTGGGAGGAAGTCTGGAGGTGGGAGGTACAGCTGGTGTCCCGAAGGGATCTGGGGCATGGCAGATGAACTCTGCCTTCTCTGGTCTTGGGATGGAGCACAGATGGGTGCTGGGGCCCCCAAGGTGCACTACTGTCTCTCTCTGCTGCTTCCTGCAAGCCCCTCTCCACCCCCAGGGCAGAGGTAAGGGGGCTTCGGGCAGCTTAGACAGGACATGGGACTCCACCGCTGGAAGCACATGTGCCTGAGCCTTAGGCCAGGGGAGAGGAAACAGAGACCAGGCCACAAGGGCCTTGTGCACAGACACACAGCACCCAGGCCCTGGTGCCCTTAGGAGGCCCCGCCCTCCAGCCTCTGCACCAAGGTGCACCCAGGGCCCAAGATGACCGCAAGTGCTTCCCAGTACACCCCTGCCTGAGGCCAGCCCCACCAGCCATCCCTGCCCAGCCCAAGCTCCGTGCCCTCAGCAAGCTGCTCTGCCTCTCTTGACACCCATGCGGGCTGGACCGGCCAGACCCCAGCCAGACGTCAGCCGGCCAGACCCCAGCCAGACGTCAGCCGGCCAGGAAGAGCCCACCTAACTCACACGCAAAGAAGCCATCCGCAGCCCAGCTTCCCCCAGACCCCTTAGCCCTGGTGATCTCTGGGCAGGACACTGCCTTCTCCACTCTGCCCCACATCCCCCCGGCCACCTCATAACTCCCCAATCACTCAGGGGTCACAGGATCTCTCCACAGCTCTTCAGAGACACCGAGGAGGCTGCACACAGACACGCAGGAGGCTGCACACCTGTCCCTGGCCAGCATCTGCAAGCCCCTGCGCCCAGGTCCTCTCCCTGGGCAGCCCCTGACTCCTGAGCCCTCACAGCTGCCTCCGGGCAGCAGGGACCCCAGCGTGCAACCTGACGCACTCTGCAGGCAGTCGCGAGTGTACACGGCCCACCGGGAGGGCCAGGCCTGGGTGAGTGGGTGTGTGAGTGTGGACGTGGGTGAGCCTCCTTCACTCATCCTGCTAGCGGGTGCCTCACTGCGTGTCCTGTGCACACGTCCCTCCAGTGACAGTGGTGACAATGCCCGCTAACACTCACTGCCGGGTACTGGAAGTGTGACAGGTGCTGCATGATGTGACAGCCACACGCAGGGCTGCACTTCACCCAGAGACCCTGGGGGGTGTCCAGAGCAGGGGCCCGGCGGAGGGGCGCACTGCCTGGCTCAGGTACCCGGCCTCGCCCTCACCTTTCACCATGTGCCCTCACGTGCAAGAGCGCCCCCAGCATGTGAGCTCCAGAACTGGGAATGTCTGCCCAGACACCAGCCCCATCTTGCTGCTTCCTCCCTGGGGGGCCTGGGGCCCAGCACAGGGAGAGGCTGGACAGAGGTGGGTGCAGCAACTCTGGACTGAACCCACCTTGGTCAGGGTTGAAGATTCGGAAGAGTTCGGGGCAGCTGACCAGGACCATCTCACCCACGTGCGCAGGCTTCCAACATGTGATGTTGTCCCACATCCCAGGGCAGCCTGTGGGCAGAGAACCACGGTGAGCACACATGTACACCACACACATCTATCACATGCATATACACACACCACAGGAGTACACACCACAGTGCTCATCATATACGTGTGTGCCCATTGTACACCCTGTAGATACCACACCACACACACCCGTGTATGCATATATACCACAGTGCACACACTTGCACCAATGTACCATACATGTACACACATGCACACCACACATGTGCATCACACCATACATACTGTGTACATATAAGCATGGTAGAACACATCACAATGCACATATACCACACAAACACACACCATATTCACACAGACCATATACACACAACAAATGCACAACATACATACATGTACATGTATGTAAACACATACCACATGGTGCACATGTAACACATACTACATGTGTATGCATATACATGTGCACTGCACAAACACTACAGACATACCATACGCATTACTATATACTCTCCACAAAACACACACATGTATACACACAGGTGCCCTTGTCCACTCCACCCACAGCAATTAGAAGTTCTCGGAGTGCTCAGCACCCTCAGTCCTGTGACACGGCACCTACAGCCCCTGCTCTGCAGCCTCAGCACCCCACTGCTCACTCTTCACCCAGCACATGGGCAGTGGTTGAAGCCACAGGCTGAGCATTAAGCCAGGGAAAGGGCAAGGGGTGAGAAGAGCATGGAGGAGGGGGCCCCAGGACCCCACATGGACAGGGTGGGCTGAGGAGGGGCATGCAGTGATGCAACCAGAGACAGAGGAGGGTGAAAGTGAGGAGGCGCCTGCAAGGGACAGCGGGTGGCTGCCAGCATCCCACCTCCCCGGGCTGCCGTGAGGAGTCACAAGCTCACGTGTGGGAAGCTCTCTGAACAGTGCCAGGCCCACCTCCTGCATGCTCACGGTGTTATCAGCGGTAATTTTATTATTTCACTAAGGTGCCCCTGGGAGTCATTCCCCTGAGAGAGGTCTACCCAGGTGTGCAGACGGCGCGGAGCCCTGCAGGTGCGCTCACAGCCTGTGGAAGCAGCCGTCAGGTCCCGGAAGTCACCGGGGCAGGTGCTAAGCAGTGGGGAGGGTCAGGGTAGACCTGATAAAGCTCAAGGTCTCTCTACTGGGGCCCGTGACTTCTGGGCACGGTTTGGAACCAGAAGCAAGCACAACTTCTGGGTGCAGAAAACCCTGTTTCTCAGAATTCAGCCCTCACTGTTCGGATTCACCTCCAGTCACACTGGCCAGTGGCAACCTGCTTGTGCAATGACAGCTAGGGAGCTGGAAGCAAGGCTGAAAGCCCTGAGCACGATGCACAGGGAAGGGAGCCGGGTCCCAGGTCTCACAGCAGTAGGCTCCTGTCTATTCACACAGCAGGACAGCCAGCACACCCTTGCCTGTGACGTCACGTCCGTGAAAGACACTCAACAGCCCGTCTTTGGCCAGCACAGCCCATGTGCACCGTGGAATGGCTGTGGATCCTGGCTATGTCTGGCTCAAGCCCTGGGAGTCCCAGCTGACAGATGCTCCCTTAATGCAGAACATGAGGATCTGGCACAGCCAGCTGCGGCTGCCAGCTGACGTTGCTGGGGTCAAGGGGCCACGTTAGATAGAGCGGGCAGGGTCATGAGGTTGGAGGGACATGAAGGAAGTGGGGCCAAGCAGGGGTGGCAGGAGGTGGGGGCGCTCCTGGCTGGAGGTCAGAGGCGCAGCCTCTCATCAACAGTTTTCTGAGCACCCTCTGCACACCACAGACCACCCTGGCACTGAGGCCACAGGTGCGGGGAAAACAATACCGTGACATTGACATTTGAGGGCAGAGTGAGGGGAAGGGCAGGGACTGCACCAGGAGCCCCCAGTCTTGTTCTCCAGTCTCCACCCTGACTCATGCTTCCTGGGGTGCAGAGCGGAGGCGGCCTGCCTCTGGCTACTCCTGACTTTGACTGACCAGAGCTCAAACCTGGACCAGAGATTCCCCTGGGAACTGCTGACCCCTCAGTGATGGCTGAGAGTGGCAAGGGGTGCTTTCCAGGGGGCGTCCTCCAAGGACCCCCCAACCCCGATCTCATGGGCTGAGAACGCTCAAACTGTGCCTCGTCAGTCATGTCCCCTCGTCATGTCCCTTGCCATGGTCCCTCCTCAGTTCTGATGGCAGCACCCGGGCCAGGGGAGGTGGGGAGAGTGCCTGGAGCTCATAGCTCTCTACCTGCTCCTCTGGCTACATCCCTGGGGTCACAGGAAGCCCTCGGCTGCCCACTGGCCTGGTGCACATTTCTCCTGCCATCACCTCCTCTCAACCCAACCCTGGTGAGAGGAAATCTCGTCTCCCACCCCTTCTGGCCTCAGGGACCTTGGAGCGGAATCCTCCCAGGAGGCCTTCCCCCTGTGCTTAGGAGGGTGGGAGCTGAGCTCCTGAGAGCGCCTTGAGGTTTCTAATTAAGGACAGGGATGTGGCTTCCTTCCTCTCGCACAGAATGTGCCCAGCTTCCACAGCCCCACGGACTCCGCACCCCGCTCTCCCCTGGGAGTGGAAGATGTCAAGATGCCCGTCTCCTTCTCCCCTCCTCTGTTCACCCCTTTCTTCTTCCCACTGTCTCCCTTCCTCTTATTCACTCGTGTATTTGAGAAGCAGTGAGTGCCGGTGATGAGTCAGGCTGCTGAGCAATGCAGCGGGGGGAGAGAGACCTACTCGCTGCCCTGCAGAGCCCGCAGGCTGGGTCACGTTCATGATCTTGGGCTTTATGCTACAGGCTAGGAGAATGCACTGGGCAGGGAGCTCATTTCCCATCGCTGCTGTAAATCGACTGCACACTTGCTGCTTTCAAATGGCACAACCATACGGTTCTGCGGTCACAAGTCCCAAAAGGGTCTCACAGGCTGAAGCAAAGGAGCCAGCAGCCCTGCGGTCCTCCTGGGCCATCTTGGGGAGGATCCGCCTTCCTGCCAGTTCCAGGCTGCTCCCATTCCTTGGCTAGTGGCCCCTTCCTCTCTTCAAAGACAGCAACTTATCCTCACTCCCTCTCTTTCTCTAGTTCTCCTGCCTCCTTCTTTCCTTCACAAAGACCCTCGTGATCATCCTGGGCCCACCCAAATACCCCAGGCCAGTTTCCCATCTGGAGAGCCTCACATAAGTTGCATCTGCAAAGTTCCTTTAGCCATGTAAGGGGACGCTTTCCCAGGTCTCAGGGGTTAGGAAGGGGCATCAGGGGCGTAAGGGGGCTACAGAGAATTACTCCACCTGATGAGAGGAGTTGAAAGACAAGGAGTCACATGACCTGGTTTGCTGGCTTAAGGACAACGGGATATTTCAGGAACTGAAGCAGTTAGGACGCCGCTCGGGTTGCCCGCGTCCCGTATCACAGGGCCCAGGTTTGAGTTCTGGCTCTGCTCCCATTTCCAGCTTCCTGCTAACGTGCACCAGGCAGCAGGCCAGGGCACCCATGGAGGAGACCCGGATCAAGTTCCTGGCACCTGCCTTCAGCCTGGCCCAGCCCCAGCCATGGAGAGCATCTGGGAAGTGAATCAGTAGATGAGAGAACTCAGACTTTCAGAGAAATAAAAGACATCAAAAAAAAAAAAAAAAAAAAACCAGAAAGAAAAGATAGCAAAGCAAATGTGGGAAGTCAGGTGAAGACAGGGCAGGGGAAAAGCGAAAGCTTGATTTTGAGCCAGAGCAGAAGTGGAAAGGAGGGCTGTGTAGAACAGAGCATGGGGGCAGACCAACAGGGCTAACTTAGGTGACAACTGGCGGGACATGGCAGGTGAGTGTGCCGGTGACCGCAGCACTGCGGTGTAGCAGGCTAAGCCTCTGCCTGCAATGCTGGCATCCCATATGGGTGCCTGTTCTTGTCCCGGCTGCCCCTCTTCCAATCTAGATCTCTGCTTATGGCCTGGGAAAGCAGTGGAAGATGGCCCAAGTGCTTGGGCTCCTGCACCTGCATGGGAGACCTGGAAGAAGCTCCTAGCTCCAGGTTTCGGATTGGCTCAGCTCCGGCCATTGTGGCGATTTGGGGGGGAGTGAACCAGCGGATAGAAAACTTTTCTCTCTGTCTCTCCCTCCCTCTGTCTGTAACTCTACCTCTCAAATAAATAAATAAAATCTTAAAAAACAAAACAAACAAACAAAACCCCAGAGACGGCAGTACTCACCCATATCACATGCGTGACTGAGTTTCTTATCTGTGGGAAGTGGGTGGAGTCCTGAACTGATCACCAAACACCCCTCCCAGGCTTCCAAGCCTCGCTCTCTCTTTCCTTTCTGTAACACCTTTGGGGGGCCACATGCTGAAGATGGCAGTGTTCCAAGATCAAAGGGACCTGGATCCCTGAATGACTGCAGAGTCCAGCAACCCCTACTAACCACACTAGCCTATGACATGCACAGGCAAGAAATCTTAGTGTGCTGACTCTGAGGTTTTAAGGTTGATTTGTTCCTGCACCATAGTCTAGGCTATCCTGACTAGAGACAAGCACTGAGGGAATCACCCAAGTTCCTGGCTTGAGTGGATGGATGGATGGATGGATGGATGGATGATGGCTGGGCGGCTGGATAATAAATTGGTGGATGAAGGATGATGGATGGTGGAGGGATGGACAGATACATGGATGGGTGATGAATGAGTGGGTGATTGATGGATGATGGATGATGGATGACAGATGATGGACAGTGGGAAGGGCTGGGTGAGAAGTACATGGACAGGCCACTAGGCAGGTTAGAAATGGAGAGCTCAGCCCGGGATGAGACAATGCTAAGCAGATCCACATGGAGACAGCCGTCGAACAGGCAGTTTGATAAGTCTGGAGTGCAGGAGAGAAGTCAGCACTGGTTGGGGAAGAAGGCTGGGAGCGGTCAGCCCAGGGGTGCTGTGTGGGCCTCGGGTCTGGATGGTCTGTCTAGTGAACAAGCATGAATCAGAGGAGAGTGGAGGTCCGGCCCCAGCAGAAGAAGGAATGCTGACATTTAGAGGAAGAGTTGGCAAAGAAGACGAGGAGGGAAACCAGGACAGGCTGGTGACACAGCGGCCAGGAAGGCACGCTCCCGGAAGGAGCCAACGCCAAGCCTAGCAGGCCCCATTCCCCAGAGACCTCCACATTCTGGACAGCTCCCCCAAACCTCTCAATCTGTCTCTCCCGTAATCCCCTGGCCCTGCTGGCTCAGTCTGCACAGCTCACCACGGTGGCACTCAGGCAGTGGAATTCAGTGCTGCTGGCCGGCAGGAGGGGGCAGGCAGTGCTGCGCATGCTCTCTGATCTGTGCCCACCTCGGGTCTTCTACAAAAAGTAGCCAACAGGCAGCTGGGCACTGTGGCAGAGGGAGGAACAGAGTCCACTCAGGCAGGTCGCACTGAGAGAGAATGCCAGAGCTATTAGCCTGCGACTGGAACGCAATCAGGTGCTAATCTCGTGTTGTCATGGCAATGAGCCTGTCCATTTCCACATTGTTCAAAACCCATGAGAGCAGGACGCTGAAGCGACTGAGACAAAGCCCGGGTCCTTCCTCTGAGAAGCCACTGGGGACGCTGGGGGTCTTGTTGGCACCAGGCCCCAGTTTAAGCACACAGCACAAGGGTAAGAAATGACTCCATGTGCTGAAATGGACTTTGCAGCCAGTATTTCTGTTCTGTTCGGTGAGGACTGGCTGTGAGCAGAGTGCTGGGGGATGGGAGGAGGACTAGTCGAAGGCAGAGGTCCTCAAAGCGGGGGCCCCGGATGGGCAGCACCACCTGGAGCCTGTCAGAAAGGCAGACGCAAAGGGCTGGTGCTCTGCACGGCAGGTGCAGCTGCAGCTTGCAGTGTGGCATCCCACATCAGAGCCGCCGTTCAAGCCCCAGTTGCTCCACTTCCTATCCAACTCCCTGCTAATGCACCTGGGAAAGCAGTGGAAGATAGCCCTGCCATCCACATGGGGGACCCAAATGGAGTTCCAGGCTCCTGGCTTTGGCCTGGCCCAGCTCTGGCTGTTGCAGCCATTTGGGAAGTGAACCAGTAGAGGGAGGCACCCTCTCTGCCTCTGCTTCTCCCTCTCTGTAGCTCTGCCTTTCAAACAAATAAATATTTTTTAAAAAGAAAGAAAGGAAGAAATGCAGATGCACAGGCTCCATCCAAGACCCACTGACTTGGGGTTTCTTGGGGGTGGTGCCAGCAGCTGTGCTTTAACAAGCACCAAAGCAGGAAAGGGCAGGTGTGGGAGAAAATGTAACCCTCTGTCAGGCTGGACATCAAGTCCTACCAGGAGTCAATTCCAGAGGGAGGGTCCCTGTGGTCACCTCCCCTACCCGTGCGTGGTACTTGTTCAGGCTCAGGGCAGCTGGGAGCCCAGATAAGAGGCTCATCCTACCCTAAGGTCTCCCCCTCCTGATCTGAGGCACGTGGCGCCCAGGGCAGGCTCTGAGACTGGGTCAGGACAGCAAAGAGCCAGCTTTCCCGATCCCCTGCAAACCTCGGCTCTCCTGCCCTGGCCCGGCTGCGACAGGACTCCCTCGTCACCTCCTCCTGAGTGTGGGGTCCCCGAGGGGACCACACTGCAGCTGCCCTGCTGACTCCAGGTTAGACTTCCAGGCTGGGCTCCCCAGGGCAAGCCAGATGGACAGCAGGGCCCAGTGGACAGAGCGATAGAGCTCAGGGCCACGCGCAGAGGAGACGCGGGTTCCCTGGCACTGCAGCCTTTCTGCCTGCCCATCTGGCCCCCGAGAACACCACCCCAGCAAGGACACTCCCAGGGCAGGCATTGGGCACAGCAGGGTTAAGCACCTCTTGGGACACGTGCATTCCATATCCGAGTGCCGGTTCAAGTCCTGGCTGCTCCCTGCCAATGCGCCTGCAAGGGCGGGGATGACGGCTCAAGTACTTGGGTCACTGCCACTGATGTGAGAGAAGTGGATGGAGTTCCAGGCTGCTGGCTTCAGCCTGACCCAGCCCCAGCTGCCGAGGGCATTTAGGGGTGAACCAGTGAATGGCAGATCTCTCTCTGTCTTTATCTCTCTTCCTCTCTCATTCTCCTTTTCAAATAAATAATACTTAAAAAAAAATAAAAGGTGCATGACCTCCTTGTGCCTCCATTTCCTCTTCTGTAAAATAGGGCTAACGACAGACCCAACCCCCTGGGCTGCCGTGGTGGAAGGACACCAGCACAGCACCAGCACAGCGCCTGGCACATGGGGAACTGATGGTCAATTAACATGCTGGCCGTGAACATGGTCCCCCTGGTGCTTCCGGAGCCCCAGAGCAAGGCAGAGTCACGGGCCTGGTGGCCCGGCTGGGCCCTCAGTCTCCTCGTCCCCACCTGATGCCCACCTTGGGCTTCTGGTCAATTTGCTCTCAGCTCTGCCCTGCAGAGCTCACTCTATGGCTCAAGGGAGGGGAATGGGGAAGACATGGGAGACCCTCTGCTCGGGCAGACTGTGGTCTGGGCACACAGGGTTAGAGGACAGCTCTTCCCTCACCTCTTGGAGAACCCTTCACTCCCTGTCACCCTGGCCACTGCTGTCCTCTCCACCGTGACCTCCGTGGGAGATGGACAGGGCCTGCACCTGCACCTGCACCCTGGGCCTTCAAGCCATAGCCCTTGCCTGTCCACCCACCCATCCCACACAGAGTTCCAGACACAGGGGTCGTCACTGCCCCCAAACGCCAGGCTCCTGCCTCCTGGCCTAGAATGTTCTCCCAGTGTCCTCCCTGTGTTCTCACCTGCCATCAGATGCTTGGCCACCCCGGGGCCTTGCTCGGGCCCTCAGCTCCAGTCTCACACCAGAACCACCTGGCTGCTTCCACACCCTCCGGGGACTCAGGGCCTGAGTTCCGCTCTCACTGACTGGACCGCATGCAGCCAGGCCTGAGAACCAAGGCTCTGGTCTCAACAGCGCCTTCGCCAGGAATCCCTCCTGATCCTCCCCACAGAGAGCACCTCGCTCCCTTGTCTCAGCCTGTCTGGGGGCGAGGCCTCTCCCGCCCCCCAACCCGGCATGGCCTGCTCCTCCCAGGACAGTGTCCCTCCCTACAGCCACCCCTCTCGCTTCTGCCATGATGCCCGGGAGCAAGCCTGCCTGGCTCGCTCTCAGCGCAGGGCATGACAGGCACGCACGAATTTCAGCTGTTCAAGGCTCAGCCTGCTGACCCGGCCCCACCTCCCACCCCCTCTTCACTTCCCTCCTGAACTCTTTCCTTGCTCAACCCCCAATGCACCTGAGACGTGTGATACAGGAACAAAGGTCCTGGAGCGAGGGCCAGTCACTGTCCTTGGGGCTCTGTGCCCCCACCCCCAGGCAGATATCTCAGCCGGCCTCCCCACCACCTCCACCCGTGTACCCTTTGGTGCTCCCTGCCTCGGTTTTCCTAGTTGGTGGGGCCCTGGTTAGGGTTGAGTAGGAGCTGAGCGAGAGGAAAAGCAGGCTGGCCAGGAGAAGCCCCGTTCGCTGAGCAGCCGCTGGCCGCCGAGCTCGGTCCACAGGGACCGATCCATTTAACGGGGCTGCAGATTAATCAAGTCTTTAAACAGATGGTGCTCAGAAGAGCTGGGAGCACCCAGAGGGGAAGTGGATCCCTCTAGCCCGGGCAGAGAGCCCCAGCCTCAGGCAAACAAGGAGCCAGTCCTGCCGCTGAGGCCTGTTGTGCTGCAGACGCCCCAGGATGGCCCCGGCCCCAAGTCTGACGCCCCCTCCCCGACTCCGACTCCGACTCCGGCAGGAAGCTGAGGGCACTTTGCCCCTGCAGGCCCTGGCTGCCCACCTGCAGGATGGGGGAGTCAGAGGGGCAGGGCTGGGGGAGGTGGTCTCGCCAGGGTGGTGCCACTCCCTTGGGATGTGTGAAATGTCCTCCGCAGGCATCTTCTTGTTCTTGGGGTCAGGGGGTGTGTCAGTACCAAAAGAGAGAAGGCAACGGATGGCCCCACCCCGCCCAAGGAGGAAGTAGCCCCCACCCACCCCCCAGTGCTCACAGCAGCCCCAGGAGCAGCACACCAGGGGCCTGTCACACTGAGGCTCCTCCTGTGCCTTCTCCTCTGGCTTCCAGTGGGATGAGCAGGAAGGTGTGTGTGGGTGGGGTGTCCCCACACTGCCTGCCCTGGGGCGACCAAGTGCTCTCCAGCACAGCCACCAGCAACAGCTGTGTCCCTGCTGCCGCAGGCCTGGGCTGCCTGCTAACGAGCTTTTTCACAGCCGCTGCCCAGCCCAGGCACCAGCATTGGCCCAGGCTTCAGAGCAGAGAAGGCAGCCGGACCCAGCCACCCAGACAAAGGCAGGCCAGCCCCACGGAGGGCAACCCCGTGTCACTCACTACCCCCAGGGGCAGCAGGTCCAGATCCCATTGTCCCACAGGCCCGTCCCCTGCAACTGGCTGGAGAATGCAGAACCGGCCCCCAAAGGATGTGCTGGGGCCGCTGGGTCTCCCCGAGCCCCTCCCCACTCCCCCAGCTTACCTGGGGAGGAATCGTTCAGGCCCAGCAGGTCATTGGCCCTCTGGATCTTCTCCAAGCACAGGGCTTGCTCCTTCTTGAAGATGCAGTCAGAGTGCATGGCAGTGGCCTGCAGGGACACAAGGGGTGGATGGTGGGAGGGGTCTAAGCTGGAGGAGCAGTGTCCTGGGGGTGGGGCCAGAGGCAGCAGGAACAGTTACAGAGAGACAGCAGGAGCCCTGATGTCCACTTTGTCAGCTCTTCTCACTCTACACGCAGCCTTAGGCAGAATGGGTTCCCTGCCAGGGTCTCGGTTTCGGGGTCTTTGTCACATGGGTAAAGACACAGCACCTTAGTGAGCGCGGGCACTACACTGGGTGTCCCAAGAGCTCTGTGAAGTCGCTCCTAGGCTTATCATTTCCCATGTTTGCAGATGGGACAACTCAAGAACAGAGGTGCTAAGTAACTTGCTGAAAAGCACATGGTTTAGAAGTCGGAGAGACACCCCAGGGCAAGTGCCGCACTCCAGGGGCGCAGACAAGCAAGGGAGTGCGAGGACAGGCTGAGCGTGTGCTCGCCACCTCCCCCCTCCACCCTCCACTGGGGCTCCTGGAGAGAGGCGCGCCCGCCCGCAGCAGCTGCAGGCAAAGCATCAGTGGTAGCCACGGTTTATTTACGGGAGAGGAAGCAGGTTCAGAGAGGTCATGAAACTCCAGCCCAGCTGGTGAGCAGCAGACGTGGATGCAAGCTCAGAGCCAAGTAACCGCACGGCCCCCATGCTCCCTTCACGAGAGCTGCCTCCCGAGGCTGGCACTGTAACTCAAAACCCCGGGCAGGGATGGCTCCAGAGGGGGCTGTCAGCCAGGGCACAGGCAGTCACAGGCATTGGGGCTGGCGACGGCCCCGTTGGGATGTGGTCCAATCCTGACTGCTCCCAGAAAAAAGGGCCCCTGCGAGGCAGGACCCAGGGCTCCGAGGATGGCACCATCGGTGCTGTCTGAGCTCCCAGGGCACGTGGTAGGGCCATTAGCCGGGAACCCATCCCACTCCAGCTCAGGGAGAGACATGAGCAGAGCACAGGCGTCTAAGTTCTAACGGGGCAGGCCTCATGGGCCTTCTGTGGTCCGAGCAGCGCTCCCCGCATACAGCTGAGCAGGTTGTGTACTGTACAACTCTCACGGTGGCCACTACACACCCATCCCCATCATAATAGACCTGGACATTTGATAACCATTTCCAGTCCAATCAGGCGAGGGTGGTGAGAAAGGGGCACATTTTCTGATTCACAAGAAGTGCCACAATGGCAGTGCCGACGGAGACACCAGCCCAGGAGACAGCGTGGCTACAGGCACAAGGACAGCGTCTCAGGGGTCGTGCAGGGGAGGGCCCTGGGCTCTTACCGCAGGCAGCAGGAGGAGTGCAGCCAGGGAGACCTGTAGGACGCCGGCCATGGTGCTTCTCCACCAGCACTGCCGCACTCCTGCGCCCAGTAGCCACTGCTCAGCCCCAAGATGCCCGCGGTCTGGGAGGAAGGAAAGACACGGATCTGGTGAATCATTACCCAGCCCCTACCTACAGCTGACTACAAGCCTCAAAAGGCAACTGCCCTCCATACCTGCCTCTCGCCTATCTTCGTCTCCTAACTCAGAGACACCTGCTGGGCACCCAGCCCGTGTGGGCACCGGCAATACCTGGATACACACTGGCTTGGCCCTGTCTTGTCTCTGGGCATGGTCTGGAATGGCTCTCCCCTCTGCAGCCCCTGAGCTGCCTCCCAATCACGCTCCCCAAGTGACAAAGCTGTGGCTGGCCTGTGCATGCCTGTCTGGAATGACAGGTGCCAGTCTCGCTTGCCCTCAGGAGCAGGCATGTGATGAAGCTGGCCCCTGTGCAATGTGGTGGCCACAACACGAGCCACGTCTGCACCACTGGTCCAAGAAGCACGGTGTGCCCTCTGCACCTGCTCTTCCCTCCTTCCCGAGCGCTGCGCCCAGCTCTGCCAGAGCAGACACGCAGGAGTCTGAGGGGGTACGTGCACACTGTGCAAGCAGCCAGACTCAGCGACCACAGGCAGCTAAACCACCCCTCCAGCCAAGACTGCCTGCCCAGGCCGAACCATTCTATGCCAGACACACAATCTCCTCATTTACTCACTCTTGCAGGGCCTCTCCGTCCCAGCTGCCTAGCCCGCTACCCTAACAAATACATCCTCCTCTCGCCCAACCTCGCCCCCACGTGAGCGGTGACACAGCACACAGAGTGACCGCTGAGGAGTGTGCTCAGGCCTCAGAGCTACAGGAGCTCCAAAGGGGCCACACAGGATGCAGGAAGCCTCGGGAGCCCAGCTTGTCCCCAGGGAAGATCTCCTCTGCTTCTAAAATGTATCATCAGTCCCTACGCCCTGTGCCCCAGCAACTCCACATCTGGGAAGCACCTGTACTCGGACCAAAAGGAGCACATGCCAGGAGAGTCGCCGCAGCGTCATTTAAAATAGCAGCAACCACAGAAAGTGGGGCGGCAGAGCGGCCTTCCACCAGGCACTGCTGCAAAGGCCCCAGCCCAACCGCACGATGGAATACTATATCGTCATTTCTAAATGGTGATTGTTAAATTGCCACAAAGGAGACTGAGGAGCCCATAAGAGGGCATTGCTAACCCACAGGTGCCTGGGGCTGAAGCAAACCCTCTGCACACCCCAGCAGGCAGAACCCCCCACTCTCTGCCATGCCACGGCTCCTTCCCCAGTGATCAAAACCACAGCAGGAGGGCTCAACCAAAGGGAGCCCCGATCTTATCCACCTGCTCGGGGCTCACTCAGGGATGCAGAGGGAGGCTACAGGTGTCGGTGAGAGATACTAGAGGAAGACCACAGGACCACAGCGCACTGGCCCCGCCTCCTCCCACAGGCCAGTGAGCGCTGGGCAGGCTGGGAAGCCCTGGTCCCAGCATTCATGAGCAACATGAGGCCATGAGGCACAGGCTCTGCCAGACACTCAGGATTCGGCCTCTGTGCCCACTCCCGGGGCCCTCCTCCCGGTGACCACAGGCTGCCTCCAGGAGTCTCAGTCACCTCCACTCAAGAGACAAGGCCCTCCTGACCTGCCTGGCCCCAGGGACTTCAACAGAGTCTGGAAGCCACCTCTCCTGGCCCGCAGAGGGACAAGAGCCACTCCCACAAGGCAGAGGGCCCCGAGCTCAAGGGCGACAACCTCGGGCCCAGGGAGGACAGTGGAGAGCCCCCACTCTCAGCGACACTCCGTGACGGCAGCAGCACTGCCCTCTTTGGGCCTCCAGCCCTGACCACTCAGCCCAGGGGGCAGCCTGGCCACCCACCAGAGCTTGCAAAATCACCCCTGCCTGACCAGACCGCCCAGCTGCGGGCCAAGCATCCTGCTGAAAGCTCTCTTGGCGAGGCCCAGGCAGAGCCAGGACCTCAAAGCTCAAAGACTCCCCTTGAACCTGCGTTAGAGCCAAGGAGGCTGGCATGGAGGAGCCATCGGCCAAGGGGACACTGGCTGCTGGGATGAGCGGAGAAGGAGCTTGTGTTCTGAGAACAGGCTGATTTCTGATTCTCTCTCTCTCTCTCTCTCTCTCACACACACACACACACACACACACTCTCAGAACAAAGGCCCAGGCGACCGTGCCGTGCAGGCGTGTGGAGCTGTGTAACAAGACACTCACGTGCACCCATTCTGCACAGGCACTCGGATAAAGCAGAGACGATCACACGGTGCCCACTGAGCTCTGGGTGCAGGCGCGGGTACAAAGCAAAAGCACACACTTGGGTCACACATGGGGCAGCAGGGCAGCTTCTCAGCCACAGCTGTGGACTGGAAGCAGCCCTCTGCTCGGCCACCAGGCCGCTTCACCCAACAGCAGCACCACCACAAGGAGGCCCAGTGACACGGGGTGCTGTGGCTGGGGACTTCCTCTGGAACTGACCCCGGGTACTTGACCCCCACTGCTGCCCTCTCTTGTTCTCCCCACTGCAGTCCACTCCCTGCCCAAATGGACACAGGCACCCTCAGCAACGAGATGTGGAAACAGGAGTGGCAAGCTCCCAGGCCTGGACTCCCTGTCCACCCACCTCAACTGGGGACCTCAGGGATCACCTCCCACGCCCCCCACCAGGTGCCCCTCTGCCCTCACCCCGCCCCGCACCACCTCTGCTGGGCAGCACCCAGCCTTCGGGGATGTGCCCCCTGGTGCGGCTCCCTCAGTCTCGTCAGCTGGCTCCCCCGGGAGGCCAGGCCGCTGCAGTCTGGGGACCCAGCTGCAGACATGGCTCAGGATCACACACTCAGCCCAAATCTCAAGGTGCTCCCTCTTGGGTCCAGGCTCTGCTGGGGTAGCTGGCATTCAAGGACAATCACACACCACCTCCTGGCATTCCGTGGGGCAGACTGGGGGACGCTTTCAATGGGTTTTAGCCTTGGGACCTTGGGCAGGTGGCCTCATTCCTGTGCCTCTATTTTATCATCTGTGAAATGGGAGCAATAGTGAGGCCTGTCTATAGACATCACCCCAGGGCATCAACAAAATTTATACCGCAGTAGAGTGGCTCGCACACCGGGCACTGGGGGAGGGACACACTCAATAACTAACGTCATTACCTTCCCTCCTGGTACCCCCAGCCTGTGTCACACTCAGCATGAGAGTGGCGGGCCCGCTTCACCTGTATTTGCTGAGGGCAAACATTTGTTAGACACTCAGGATGTATCAGGAACGCTCCCAAGCGACACACGATAAACGATTAACTCATTTCAGCTGCCCCAAACCTACAAAGCAGTTGCCAGCACCTACAGCAGAGGTGACTGACGCACAGACAGGCTAAGCAACTTCCCCGGGCCACACAGCAGGCAGCGCACGCACGTCCCCTGTGCCCCTGCTGCTCCGTTACCGGCTAAAGCAAGATCAGCTCAGGCCCTCGGCTACCCCTGCCCGCGTAACTACTTGCTCTCACGAGCAGTTGGTTACACACAACATTTCCAAAGGGAACAGGCACCTCTTCACGGTGCAGGTGGGGACACTGTGGCCAGAGGAGCTGCTTCCCAAGTCACACAGCCCTGCAGGTCTGCCTGGTAGGAACAGGATGAGTGACAGACACCTGGACAGGATGGGTGTTCAGGGGACCCCACAGGCGCACCACACCCACGTCCAACCTGGGAAGGCCCGCCCTCCTCAGGCCCCACAGCCCACAACCCAGAACAGCTGGGCTGGGAACTGGTAGAGCAGCAGTGCCCTCCGGTGAGCCACGGCACCAGAAGAGACGTTGTCACTCAGCTGTGGGAGTGCCAGGGACTCACGGGCTCTCCCTGTCCTGCATCTCAGAGTGGGAGGGGCCTCGGAGACGCGCCCCCTCCAGTGAGGGCCCCCAGGGCTCGGAACCCCACAGGGGCCCTGTTACAGTAGCCCTGCCAAGTGCGGCCCGGCTCCAGGACAGGCACTTGTCCTCCTCCAGTGGCTGGCCCAGGCCTTCCCTGAGCCGCTCCGAGGTCCCCCGTGCTTCCTGGCCAGCTCTGGGCAACGTAACGGCTTCTGCCTCAAGGAAGCCCCTGCCCAGCGTGTGGACAGCCTGGAGCCCTCATCAGCCGTACACAGGGCTGTGCCCTGGCCATCTCGAGGGTGATCACTGACGCCCATGCTCCTCTTTGGTGTTCAAATCTTCCCCTGCCTCAGGGGGTGGCAGAAACCAGGTGACCAGAGGGGCCCCCAGCCATGATCTCACCCACGCCCTGCAGGGCACATGGGCTGGAACACACAGGTGCATGCGGGCAGTGTTGCCCCATTCCACTGGTCAGGGCTAGAGGCCGGAGAGCCCAGAAGACTTCCCCAAGGTCCCACTACAAGGTCCTTCTCCCCAGGTGTGCCGTGTAAGGAGTCTCCTCCCACACAGGCAAGTTCGGGGTCATCTCCTATCCCAGAGGAGTCAGGAGGAGCTCCCAGGGCCCAGGCAAGGGCAGGCAGAGAGGGAGAAGGCAGAAGACGAAAGACAGGGGAGGAGTGAGGTGGGAAGGGAAGGGAAGGGAAGGGAAGGGAAGGGAAGGGAAGGGAAGGGAAGGGAAGGGAAGGGAAGGGAAGGGAAGGGAAGGGAAGAGAAGGGAAGGGATCGGTGGGAGAGACAGGGAAGAGAGGGGAGGGACTGGAAGCCACAGGAGCCCTGTGTTCGCTGAGCACCTAGCAGGCAGGGCGGGCAGTGGTGGCTACAGTGGACAGCCCTCGGCCTTTGTGCCAACCCTAGAAACCAGCAACCTCTCTGGGGTGGGGGTGTGGCCAGCACTGACAGGCAGGTGTCCCCTCTGGGGAGCCTGGCAAACTCAGATGCGCCTGCAGAGTGGTGTGGTGACCTGGGTGGTGCCCAGGAGCCCAGGGAGACATCAGGAGGTGGGGGTCAAACAGGAGGGTAGAGGCCAGGCTGCTGAGGAGGGGGGCACCCAGGAGTGGTGCGGTCAGCTTCCCGTTTAGGGAAGAGCCCTCCACAGCCGGGAGCAGGTGCAAAGCCAGCCCCGGGCCCCTCCTGTAGAACCAGAGGTGACGGAGCCAGGGTGGGGAAGACTGGCAGGACTGGAAAGAGAGGGGGGTGTTCAGAGACCTGGAGAGACCCAGAGGGGCAGGGAGGACCCACCAGGAAGGGCAGTGAGCAGAGGAAGAAACGGAAGGCAGGGCCTGGCTCACTGCACACATCTAAGGCAGCTGAGGAATCTGGACGGGTCTCATCATCTTTTTTCTCAGCCGATCCTTTGCTGCGCCCATCAGCCAGGGTGGAAAGGAGAGGATCACCAAGCCAACGCATTGAATCTGGGGAGAGGCGGAATGAAATGCCCAGCTACTCCCCATGACCAACTCCACCTCCAGGAAGCCACCCTGGCTGCACTGCCCCTTCCTACGTCGCCGTCCTCTAAGAGCTGCCAGCCCTGGATGGAGGAGCTCCCTCTTCCTACTGGATGCTTCAGGCCGCCCCATGGGCACTGTGAGCTCATGCCCAGGTTTCCAGGTGGCCCCCCTCCCAGGGAGAGGGCACAGACCTGGACGCAGACAGAGAGGGAAGAGGAAAGGGGACTCGGGAGCTGTGTGGTGACTTCTAGAGACATCTTCTCAGTCTTCAGTCCTGAACACTGGGTCCAGGTGACTCACCAACACAGTGGAGGCTGGTCTGCAGGAGCGTGGTGAGGCCAGCAGGAACCTCTGCTGGGGCTGGCCCATTAAACAGACGGGAACACTGAGCCCCGGGTGGGATGCAGTGGAGCATCCCAGGTACCCTGGGGCATCTCTGCTCAGCACTGTGCCCCTTTTGTCTCCAACCTCTTTTGTCTCTAACCATGTAGCCCAGGGGTTGGCAAAGCCTTCTAGTGAGTCAGAAGCAGCCTGGTGCCTATACTGTGTGGCCAGTGAGCCGAGAAGGGCTTTTAGGTTGCTAATTGGCCAGGAAAACACATACACACACACACACACACACACACACACCTTACTTCATGATACATGCAAACTCCTTGAAATTCAAATTCCAGTGAAGTTTATCAGAACATAGCCCCGCTCCTCTATGTGTGGTTTGTGGTTGCTCAGGCGACAACAGCAGAATTACAGCCTTGTGTCACAGCACATGGTCCCAAAGCCCAAAATATTTACTACCTGGCACTTCCCAAAGAAAGCCTTCCCGCCCTTGATCTTGGCTCATCGCACACAGGCACGCACGCATTCTAGCATGCACACACACACACACACGCACGCATGCACACCCACAGGCACACACACACTGTCTCCGATTCATTCAAGGTGTGTGGAGCCGTTCGTCACGAGAGGCTGTGGGCCAGAGCCGGGCAACCCCAGGCATGGCCAGACCTGGGAACGTGGGGTTCCGTGTGCGTGTGCCTGCACTGTTGTTGCTCTGTTTTGCCCCAGCTCCCTTGAAGGTGTCATGGGATGCCTGCCCGCCTCCCCAGCTGTGTGTCACTCCTTCTCTGTGTGTCACTGTGGGGGTGGCTGTCACCGTGTGCTCTGACGGCATCCAGAGCTCGGCACAAACACGTCGCCACCGAGGAGTTTCTAGGCTCCGTGTTGCCAGGCAGCCGGACCCCTCGGCCCAGCTCATTCAGACCCCGGAAGCTCAGATTCCTCCACTCAGAAGCCACATGTGGCTCTGCCAGGGAGGAGGCCCCCAGGGAGCCCCTGGCTGGGCTGTCAGATCTCTGCTCACACAGCTCCCGGGACAGGCAAGTGTCAGCCCAGGTCAGCTCCGCGGGGAGCAAGGCCCTCCTGGCACGGAGCAGGGCTCATGCTCTGCGCTTGGCACACCTTGCCTCTGCCCTCTGGCAAACAGCACAAGGTGTCCTCCGCTTCCTCAGCGCCAGCCCATGATCAATGAAACGCCCGTCTCTGGGAGGCTGGCCACCCGGAACACTCAAGCCCAAGCCGTTGGTCCAGGAGGAAAGACACCCTCCCCAGCATCTCAGTCACATCCATGCACCTGTCAGCGCACACCGTGGCTATCTGTTGACTCCACACAAATGCAGGGAGTGTCCCAAAGCAGGGGTGCAGCAGAGAGAGGCAGCCCTGTGAAAAGGATGGATTCAAGTGCTCCCCGCACCCCCCTCCCAGCCTGAACCCTACACAGGCAGGACCCTTACACCTCCTTTGCCTGCGGCGGGCTTCTGGCTCAGGCAGGGCCCCTGGAAAGACTCCTGGTTCACACCTCTGCTCGCCCCACACAGGGGTCTGGTCCCAGACAGGAAGCACCCTTGAAACAGCAGCAGGGCAGAGGGAAGGGACCCCGTCCACCTCCCCGGTCACCGCACACACACTTGTGGATGGATCCATTGCAGGATCCGGCCTGGGGCCTGCCTCAGTGTGTCGACTCTCTAATTCCTACCTCCAAATTTCCACTGGCGCCCAGACTAGCACCTCTGCCCGCCCTCCCCAAGGTCAGCGAGGAGAGCCCTCCCCTCACACACAGCCAGAGCACACCCCACTGCTGCCTGCTCTGCACCCTACCCTCACAAACACAGCCCTTCATCCTCTCCCCAAGCCCACGGCCACCCCCAAAGAAGCCTCCCGCCTGACCTTCAGAATGCCCGTCTGCCCCTGGCCAAGTGCACTCCCAGGACCAGGCGCCCTGCTCACAGCATGAGGCCCCTCTCCACCCCTCCCCCAAGGAACAGCCCAGTGCTGAGTCTGGTTTTTGTTGGGGGGAGGGGGCGGTGTTTATGGGACTCTGTAAAGCTGGGGGCGGCAAAAAAGACTCTGACGCACCTGCTCTGAACACACAGAGAGGAGCGGAAGAATTCACAGGGCGTCCCCTCCCCGCCCCCAGCATCCTCCCAGGGCCGCGGCCCGGTGCCCAGCTCCACGTGAGAGGCCATCAGCTTCCTGCTGGCCTTCCTCCGGGCGGTCAGGCGCCATCCGCTAGTGCCCTGGTCCCTCCGGACCCCCCAGTCCGCCAAGGTCCGGCTGAGGATGTGGCCCCCGCTCCCTGCAGCTGCTGCGGCAGCCCGGGCCTTTCGGGCGGCCGGCAGGGGTCTCGGGCCGCAGGAGGCCGGCGCATTTTCCCCTACAGGCTTCGTAGGGCGTTTCCTCACGGGACCGCCGAAGCTCAGGCATCCCTGAGCCAGCTCCTGCGCGCCGCGGGAAACCGAGAGACCACGCTCCTGGGAACCAGCCTAAACGGCTCGCCTCGCGGGCATTGTGCGCCGGCCCCTACTCCATCCCTCGCATCGTGTGTCCACTCCTCAGACCCTTTAAAGGACTGCGGCACCCAGCCCCGGGGGGGACACGCGGCGGCGCCTTCCCGACCCGCGTAGACGCGTCCGTCTGCCGGGGGCAGGGGGCAGGTCTCATTGCGTCCCTCCGGCCGCAGCGGCCAGTCTCGGTTCTCGGAACCGGGAGGGGCGCGAGACGGTCGAGCCGACCCCCCAACCTGGGGACTGCGGGGATCGGGTGCCCCAAGCACGGCCCCAGACACCGGGGTGGAGTGGGGGTGGGGAGCCAGACCGACGCGCAGGAAGCGAGCGGCGGCGAAGCGGGCTTCACGGCGGATTTGGGAGCTGTGCCCCGCACCGGCTCGTGCCGGCTCTCCGTCGCGGGAGGACGCGGTGTGCTGGGGGCACCGGGCTGCAGGAAGGGTCCGAAATCGCTGGAGCTGGAGCGAGGCGGCCCGATCGGCCCTTACCTGCTCAAGGCGGGACCTGGCCGCGGGGCCACGGGTTGGCCCGGGGCAGCCTCGGCGGGGAAGGCGCGCTGCAGGCGATCCGCGCCCTGCGCCGCCGGAGATGCGGACGAGCGCGCCGCTGAGCTCGCCAAGCCGGCTCTGGGCGCCCGTCGGCCGCAGGCGGCGGGGTCCGTGTGTCCCTGCGCCGCGGCGGGTGCGTGTGCGCACGCGGGGACCGCGCTCGCCCGCAGCTGCCGCCGCTAGTCACCGCCCGGGGCCTGAGCGCGGCGCCCCCGCTCTCCGTGGGCCGCCCTGCACCGCGCGGCCGCCCAGCCCGGCTCTGTCCTGCCGGAGAAGCCAGGCCCGGGGCAGCAGCCAGGCCACCGACCCCCGCCTCCCTCCCCGGACTTTGGCAGCCTGCGGGGTGCGGTGCCGGCCAATGAGCGCCCGGGGGCGGGGTTAGGTCGGAGGTGGCGGAGGGAGCGCGATGGGGACCCCGCCCGCCGCGCGGACCGGAGCGGGAGCCGCGGTGCTCAGACCCCCGGTTCGGTGCTGCTTCCCTGTCGCAGGGCTTCCGGGCATCAGCGCCCGCCTCTCTGCCCTCCCGGGACACACAGGGCGAGAAAGCTGTCTCCCTTCTCCCTCAGGAGTCCTTGTGTGAGAGAGCCTACTCCCTTCCTCCGGGAAGCCCTCCTGACTGGACAAGCCTCAGGCCGTCCTCAGGTTCCTCCTGGGCCCCACAGTCTGGACTTGAAAGACTTGGCTGGTCCAGGGGTGCTTGCCTGGGTGCCCTCGGTTGTGCTGCCCTGGAGAACACATCCTCTTGGCCCAGAAAAGGGGTGGGGGAGCATGCAGGGCAATGAGAGTGCCAGGGCTCCGTCCAGCTATGCCCCACGAGCTCTGCGGGGGCTGGGGGCAGGGGGCAGGGACTTGGCCTCTCTGAGCCTCAGTTTCTTCCCCTGCACATGGAGATGGGTGCCACCCCACACCCACCCATTTTGACAGCAGCAGCAAATCAGGCTGGCCATGCACTCCCTGGTAGTAGCTTTGCACTCCCTAGTGCTACGAAGTTGCCTTTGCCACTGTTGCTGCTGCTCTGCTGAATCTGTCCCTAGTGCCCGTGGGACGAAGCTGGTTAGGCACAGCCACTGGTGGTAGAGCCACACTAAGGCCGGATCAGCTCATTCCCTACCCCTACCCCAGTTCTATGCAGCCACCATACTCCGTGCCCCTCACCTAAGTGCCTGGTCAGCAGCCCTGGGGCCTGAAGTCCTGGGTGTGGCTACCCAGCAGAGGAATTCCCTGGGGAGGGGGTGCAGACACCTGAGCCTGGCCTTGGGGACTCCAGCACAAACAAGGAGCAGAGGACCCCCTGGATCAAGGGAAAGGTGGAGGAAGCCATCCACAAACAGCCATAGAGCTCCCTGGGTCCAGGCAGAAGTGACACTGTCTCTCGGATGCCCAGGAGCACCGGGCCCTTCTGGCGCGCCATGCTGTGACTGTGCCGACTGTGCCAGGCTCCTGAGTTTTCCAGTCCAGTCTGGGAAAGCTTCCTGGAGGGGGAGCCTGTGAGCCTTCTCTGTATCAGGAAAGAGTGAGGCCTGGTTGGAGGTAAGAGGGCCTGGTGCTGTGTTAGAGTGAGACCACACCCTAACCCTGGGAGTATCTGCATGGCTGTGCAGAGCCAGGGAGATGCTGTGTGTGAAGGCGCAGTGTCAGCTGGGAAATGGGGGAGGGGAGACAAGGGGCTGGAGGGGGCATGGCATGCAGGGAAGTGAGGGAGAGGGGAGCGCAGGGTCCTGCCTAAGAGGTCAGCTTGCCCCAAAAATGGCCACAGCCAGGCTCCCAGGAGGAGGGCCTCTCAGCCCAGAAGTTCTGCACCCAGTCCCAAGTGCAGGCTCTCCAGGTCCCAGTCCTGCTGTCTGTTCCTGGTCTCAGGTGCATGTCTTGCTGTGAGCCATGGACAGGCAGACTTAGCGTGTGCCTCGGACACAGCTTCCTCTGTGTCTGGGCAGCCCGCTGGGCTGAGGAGGAGCTCAAACGTCCTTTGCTCGAACCCATCCCTCCAGCTGTTTTGCCTTGGATTCAGGGCCATGGTCAGAGGGGCAGCCCCTCACTGACCGTAGCTAGAGAGCCGCTGGGGCTCCACTGCCCTTAGTGCCCTGCCCAATGGGACCTGGGAGGGGCGGAAACCACCTTCCCCTGGACCAGGCCCATCCTAAGTCCACCCGGAAGAGGCATTTTTTTTCCAGCTGATCTACCTGGAGGAGTCACCCCTCCAATTCTCTGCAAGGTGCTGGATAGGCCAGCAGCCCCTGGAGACTGGGGTTCCAATCCCAGCTCCACTTGCTAACAGGAGCCTGCATGAGCTATGGAGTCAGACATCCCAGCTGGGAGCTGGGAGAGCCGTCTAGCCTCCCTCCCCACAAATGGGGTGCCTGAGCCCAGGGGACCACAGGACCAGCCCGAGGAACACGACCGTGACTTTCTTGTCAGCTTGGGTGTGCCCTGGCATCCAGCCAAACGCCATCCGACCTGTGTGCTTTCCCTGTCACTCTGGAAACCCAGGCCAGGCTTGTGGGCCCTGCACTGCTCTCTGCGGTGTGCCTGAGGCACCCGACCCTGGTCTCCCAGACAATCTGGGTGCTCCATGAACAAGAACAATACTAATTCCCTACCCTGGGGTGCTCCCAGCCTCGCTCCCTGCACAAGCCAGCCAGCCAGGCGGGCAGCAGCTGAAAACTATGGGTTTTAATTCGATTTGCTGGGACGTGGCTGAGGGAGATGGATGCCAGGCCACCTTACCCAGCATTCATCTCTTCAGAGCAGCCACCCCCACTTCACTCCAGATCCCCCACCCCCCACACACACACCCCAGCCCAGCTCAGCCCTGACACTGCTTAGCAGGAATGGCACAGGTGAGGACCAAGGTGTTTTCGGAGAGGTGGCTGACATTGGCTGAACGCTGGCCTTGCGCCAGTGCGTGCCACCACTCCTGGTGCTGGAGACTCTGCCGGGAGCCTTTTTAAGAGCAGCCCTCATTACCAGAGAAAATTACACAATTGGTCTGCCTTGAAGCCCCGACCAAAGCGTTTTTCTAGAATTCCCCCAGGGGTGTTTTTGTGCAAGGGGGTTGGGTACCACCCTCAGGGCCACACAAGCATCCAGAGATGGCGCTCAGACATCCAGCACAGGTTCAAGGGCGCCTGAGACGCTGGTTCCCCCACAAGCACAGGCAGCCGGCAGAGGCTTGCATGCCACAGCCGGTGTAATTCCTACCTGGGGAGCGCGTGGCCCTTGAAGGTGGGGCTGCAGAACACAGGTAACTCTATGGAGAGTAACATGCCGACCCTGAGGTGCTTCCCACCCAAGCCAGAGTGAACCAGAGGGCTCGCCTGTGCAGCTCAGAGGAACTGGACTCGGAGGGCCCTCTGGTCACCTCCTGCATCGGCACCAGGGACAGGCAGCCAGGGAGGTGCTCCAGGCAACCCAGCCCTGTGAGGCTGGCTAAGCTGGGTCCCCACACCCTGCACCCCAACACACAGGCTGCCAGGACTTCCGTGGCAGGGCGGGGTGCCGTGGCAGGCCACCCACCCACAGAAGCAGGTTCCTGAAGGTCAGGGGCAGCATTACCCCCGGACCCTCATCAGTAGGTAGACAGCCCAGTGCCACTGGGGGCCTTTTCAGTCACCCTGGAACACTGCAGTCCCCTGAGAAGCCAATGGAAGGAAGGTTAGGCTGCCTAGGCCAGTGGCTTCTCTCCTCTCCTCTCCTCTCCTCTCCTCTCCTCTCCTCTCCTCTCCTCTCCTCTCCTCTCCTCTCCTCTCCTCTCCTTTCCTTTCACAATATTATTTATTTGAAAGGCAGAGAAACAAGGGGAGAGAGCAAGAAAGAGAGATCTTCCATCTATTGGTCCACTCCCCAAATGCCAGCAACATTCAGGGTGAGCCAGGCTGAAGCCAGGAGCCAGGAACTCCATCTGGGTCTCTCACATGGTGGCAGGGACCCAAACTCTGAGCCATCGCTGCAGCCTCCCGGGATACCCATTGCAGGAAGACAGACCAGAAACAGAGACGGGACTTGATCCTAGGCATTGTGACATAGGATGCAGGCAATTCAAGCGGCAGCTTAACCTGCTGCAACACTGCCCTAGATAGAGTGTTTCCAAACTGGGGGAGCTCTGGAGTTTCTGGGGCCAGGGCCCAGGGTTGAGAGTTGGCCTGAGAAACCCATCACAGCTCTGAAAATCCCAGAAGCTGCCTCACAAGAAGCCTGGGCTAGAGAAGGCAAGGAGGCCATCTCCAGACCTGGGAGAGCCCCAGAGGTGGGCCTGAGTCCTCTCTGCCCCTCCCACCACAGCGTGCAGCAATGGACAGGGGCAAGCAAGGGGAGGACCCTCGGGAGCAGGTGCAGGGGGGACCGGGGAACAAGGACTTGCTACCCTGAACTCTTAAGTGCAGACCTGAGCATTTAGCACCTGTTTCACAGGGGGAGACAGAAAACAAAAATGATTTGTTTAGTTCTTGAGTAGCGATCAGCAGAGTTGGGGCCACCTGCTAGGTTTCTGGGCTTTGGGCTCTGTGCTCTTTGCCTGAACCACAGCTCCTAGGAGGGAGAGCAGGTAGCGGGACAGTTTGGTGTGTTGGTGGGTGCAGGTGGCAAATGTCATCCCTTGAAGCCCTGAGTAAAAGCAAGAGAGTCATGTGAGGAGCCAGGTGCCTGGATTCCTTCCCCTGGACACAGACACCATAGGGCAGCCCCGTGCCTCATACCCACAGGCTTGCTGCTACCCGTGAGTGCATTCTGCACCCACCCACCCACATACACACACACACACACAAACACGGAGGCACCATCCACAATCAAGCAGCATGAAAGGACATCCCCTCCACCAAGACAGAGATGTTCTCTCCCAGTGGAGCGCAGGCAGGCAGCAGCCCCATTGTGTGCAGAGGCATAGTTTCATCATTGTCATGCCATTCACCCTCTGTAGTGCCCTCTCCGGGGACTCGGCCACCTACTCCTGGCAGCCCAACAGGCTGCAGGGACCCGTGGCTGAAGGAGAGTGAAGTAGCCCCATTGTCCCCCGCAGCCCTTCTCCAGCCTCCATACATCCCGCCACGCCCTCCTCCGCCTGCAGCCCACCCTGGAGTTTATGCAGGGTCTTCTGCTGCTGCCGGTGAAAGGACCTTGCTGGAGATGCTACAAACAGACCACACTGTGTGTGTCCAAGAGCCGTAACTCACGTGCCCTGCCTGCAGTCTGGCTTGGTCCGGCTCTGGGTGCCTTGGGGTGCCTGCACCTGCACTGTACCACTCCCCGAGCTGGCCCTGCAGGTGCCACAGTCACAGTCAGGTCCTGCTTCTGTGCCTGCAGCTGCCTGCTGCCTGGCTTGATGGCTTTCACAGTAGCAGTGTGCCCCATCCCCGCACAAGCCCTGGCTCTACCACGGGGCCTCGGCAAGCACGGAGGTGTGGAAATTACAGATAATTCGTGTGGG